CACACACACACACACACACACACACACACACACACACACACACACACACACACACACACACACACACACAATTCAATATTATAGACCTTTTGACCAGCTTCTTTTAGTTGCTGCAGTACTTGCAACTTTCTGTTGTTCTCACGGACGCTGCTAATCTCGCGAGCAATTCTCGTTGACCAGCGACGCGCTTCTTTACCTAACATCGACGCCGCCGAATGATCTGCAGTTATCCTATGTAAATAGTAAAAACATCCATATTTACAATACAGTATGTAACAAAAAAGTTAACAGCGAGTGATAGAACAAAAAAAATGATGTGTATTAATTAAGTTTAAATTTACATAAACTCACTTATTTGCAATTTATTAAATAAATAATGTTTATGAAACTTAAACAATACAATTTTTATTATTCGACAATATAGTGAGTAAAAAACAAAAACAATTACTATATAAATAAATACTCCAAAAAAAAGTGAACATATTTTTGTTTCAATATATATTAATCGCCATTGTTTAATGACATTTTCGCCAGTTTATTAGGCAAAGAAAGTGTCACTTTTTTGTACTCATTAATTGAAAATAGTTGCTTTTTTTTTTTGTATTTTTTGTTTACTTCATGAATATGTTTAGGTGTATTTTTCGATACTTGTAATTTGAGCATAGCCCACATGTTCTCAATTGATGATAAGTCCGGAATTGCGGAGATCATTCTAACGTATTTTTAGAATTCTCTCTTAAATAATTTGTGACAATCTTCGTCTTATGTACGGGAGCATTCTTCTGCTGCAGGATAAAGTTATTGCCTTAATCTATTACTTGCTGGAATTATGACTTCTTGGAGTAATTTTAATTATGTGACAGAGTGAGACTCCGTCACTAACCAATACCGTCAGTCACGAGGCATAGTTAGTAATTTTTTTGTTTTTGTTGTAATAATTTCTTTTGTTTCTTTTTTTTTTTTTTTGTTCTGTTCTTCTCGTTTCGCTCGAATAAAGTAATTTTATTTTGTAATTCTCTCTCTCTTAATAATATGCGACCTCGCGCCCCACGATCAGCGGTATCTCTGCGATAGAGCCGAACCGCAGCAGCGGGCAATGACCCACATGCAAAGCACCACGCCGGAACGTGATACTCCGCGCAAACAAGCCTACACCGCACGCCGATTCCGGGACAAGAAGATGGCACGAATTGCAAAGAGCAATAATATTGTAAACAAATTATTGACTCATCCATAAGATTTTTTTCCAGAATGTATGCGGTTTTAATACGTGAACGTAATATAAAAATTCATAAGTTTCTTAATATTTTTTTATTTACGTAAGGCACTTTCTTTGCTGTTCGACATGTTTTTCGACCGCGTGTAAACAACGTCTAATTGTTTGTAACAAAAATGGATTTCTTTATCATTGTTCTGAAGTTTTGAGAGCTGACAAAAGTAGATCGACTAATGAAATGTTTATTCTTCTATTTATCTTATCGTCAGTAATTTTTGGTCGGCCTAGATTAGTTAATCTCGCGACTCTACCTTCTTTCAAAAACTTTTATTTTTTAAATGGCATTGACAGCTACATTGAAAAACTTTGCTATTTCTCTGTAGAATCTGCCTTCTTTTCTCAATTTTATGACAATCTTTCTCTCTTCATTTGTCAAGTGCTTCTTTTGTTATTCATTTTTGCAAAAAAAGAACTCGAACGAGATAGAAAACTATATTAAATTTTAATACACACGTTTTATGAAAAAAGTAGTAGTAGTAATAGTAGTAGTACATAACTTTAATATAATATGTTATAAAAACATTCAAAATTCATAAAAATATGAAATGTTTTCAAAAATACGTAACGTAAACAATAGTAAATAATAAGATATCAAAGGTGTTCACTTACTTTTGAAAAGTGTATAAAACGAATTATTACAGAAATAAAAGAGTATTGCTTTTTATTGTCTTATGATGTAAGCAGTAAATGTCAAATACGATTGATAGGTGTCTGTTCTATGTTCTCATTTGTTACGGTAGATAGCGTTGAAGTCCGTAACTTTAAAAACGTGATTTGTTTTACACGACAGTGTGTTCACTTTTTTTTGTTACATACTGTATATTATATTGAAGTTCACTTGTATAATAAAAAGAACAGTTTTTTTTTTGTATACTTTAATGCTGTAAGCATGAAATAATCTACAAACCTATCTACTGGGTCGCTATCGCAGGGTTCGAAATCATATTGAATATGTTGCTTCAAAACAGGATAGTATAAACAGCAGCATTGAATATTGTACTCCCTAGTAAGCTGCGAATTATTAATCATTAGTCAAATTCTTTATTTTTCATTAAAACTAAACAGATAAAAGAGATCAGAGCCAAAAGTTACATGGATCAATTGTTACAAAATTTATATTTTGTTTAAGGCTCCTCGATTTCTGAATATCAAGTCTAATTTATAGTAGTAATATCGATCGTCATGAGAACTAATAAACATAGAAAACATGAGGTCTTTCGCGTTACTTACATTTTTTGCACTTAGAATAACATACAATAAATATGTGTAGTACCTCACAGAGTAGTGTTCTACAGAGTGGGTACACACATAGCACTAACTCTGTTTACGTGGAATATCTCTGTTATTTTTGAAGATATGAAAATATTGTAATTATAAAAGTTGTGTGATATCAAAGGGAAAGATGTCAGTAATAAGTTTTCTGTAAATATAGTACTTCGAAGATTTCAAAGTCACCTCTATTTTTTTTTAATGCCATGCTATACTTTTTTATAATTTTCTAATGCAATAGCGGATATTTAAACGATTTTAACGACTTAACACAAGACCATTCGGTTATCAAATAAAACAATAAAACGATTTTTACGTCATGAGAAATGCTCGAAATGATGTCCGTTTACATTAATGCAATGCTACAAACGTTGATTCCTAAAGCATTTCTTAACATTTCTGGACTGATTGTCGCAGTTGTTTCATATTTTTTGGTGTGATTAGCATTTCCTGATCAATATCTTTATACTTATCGCTATAATACAGCAAGAAATGTAAATATTTACATTTTGTATTATAAATCCTAGAGATCTAAATAAACTAAAGTTTTCAACTTCAATATCAGTAGATAAAAATATGATAACTTTATACGTGATAATCTTGGAATCTTATTAAAAGATGTAAACTTGAACATTTGCCGAGTAATGTGGTATCAACATAATGGCTGTCTCGCACATTATAGACGTAGAGTGAGAGTTACATTCAACAAAATCTTCCCGAACCGAAAAATAGAACGGACCAATTTTGTGACCAGCTCATTTGCTCGATTTGACATTGCTCGACTTTTTTTTTTATTGAAACACTAAAAAACATTATGTACTAAGAAATACCGGCCACAATATGAAACAACGAATTGTCGCAGTATATGCGACAATCAATCCAAAAGTGTTAAAAGATATACATGCTTCAGGAATTCAATGTTTGCGCAGCTTTGCATAGATGTTAACGGACATCAATTCTACTACTCATGAAAGAATCATTTTATTCTTTTTATTAAATGACTCCTTAATTTAATGATCTTGTAGTTGTACATCTTGATCTTATAGGTTGTTGAAATCGTCTAAATATTCACCCTATCCCCTGCTCTCGCCCTCAAAAAAATTACGCACACACTTTTGACATGAAGTGACATTTAATCGAAAGTCGTTCCTTATTTTTTTCTTATTTCTTCATTGCATAGGTTTCGATTAAATGTCGCTTCATGTCAAAAGTGTGTACGTGATTTATTCGAGGGTAAACAGAGGTAGGGCGAAGCCACTCCCCGTACTGGGGAGTAAAGCTCTCCCTGTCTACTCTCCCTTACAACACGAACAAGAAGAACATAAAAAAGTAGTCATTGTAATATACTGTTATATGTTTTTACTCTCTTATTGTTCTGTTCTTTCTACATCACAAATGGGATATAAAGCTGACATAATGTCAACAAATGTATCAATCCACTGGTGATACTGAACGTTACGTTTAAACACAAATTCGTCTAAATAATTAATATAATGTTCCGCTCGGATAATATATTGTGGAATTCCGCCTCGAATATCACGCCATAAGCGTTCGTGAGGATAATTATGCAGAAATTCGTGAAACAACATTTCGAAAGTCACTCGCTTTCGACAACGATCTTTCAACGATTCTTTCTTTCTATGTGGAACTTCGCTCGGAATGACGGATAAGCTACTTCACACTCTGAAACATCAACTGATGACAATCAACTAATAATCAACAATACCGTTAATAAATACTATATATATATCTTTGTATCAGCAACTCAGAATGTCCTCCTAGAAATGATAACTGAGAGCAAATGTGTACTCCCTATTTCATTATTCTACATGTTATTACTAAAAATAAAGATCGTGATTTTTAAACATTTTTTGTTAATAACTTTTTAATAAACAATGAGCGCCGCCTAAAACCCCTTGAATACTACCCAGGAGAGTGCCCTTTATAACATATAAGAGTGGGGTGAAAAGTTTCCGGCCTGACCTAGAGATAGCGCCAGCAGGTCTAATTTTTGGCTTGTATTCTATAGTACTATATCTCATTAGCTTTTAGTAAATAAATTTTCAGGTCGATTGCTCTGTTAGTGTACATTTGAGAGCCGATTGAACAAGACGCCTCGATTGCTTACGTGAAAATGGAAAAATCAGAGAAGCGTGCGGTCATCAAATACTTCTATTTAAAAGGCCTAACACCATTACAAATTAAAAAAGAGCTGAATTCCACACTGAAAGACTCTTCTCCGTCATATTCAACGGTTTCAAACAGTGGGTTTCTGAATTTAAGAAAAGTCGCACGAGCACTTCTGACGATCCACGTTCAGGACGCCCCGTTGAGGTCACAACTCCCGAAATGATTGAAAAAATTCATAAAATAGTGACGGAGGACCGCAGAATAAAAGTAAGTGAGATAGTTAAGGCTACTAGGATGTCAACTGAACGTGTACGCAATATTTTTTTTACATCAACATTTGAGCATAAGAAAGCTCTGTGCTAGGTGGGTGCCGCGTTTGCTAACGGTCGATCAAAAATTCACCCAGAAAACTGTTTCAATCGAAAATTTGGCGCTGTACAAGCGAAACCTCAGCGAATTTTTGCGTCGATTTATAACTGTAAATGAAACTTGGATTCACCACTCCTAAAAGTAAACAACAGTCGAAACAATGGATTGGACCAGATGAACCAACCCCATAGAAGGCAAAAACAATTTTATCGGCGAATAAGATTATGGCGACTGTTTTTTTGGGATGCGAAAGGAATTATTTTCATTGATTACCTGGAGAAGGTAAAACCATCACTGGTCAATACTACGCAGAGTTATTGCAGCGTTTGAAGGACGAAGTGAAAAATAAACGACCTCACTTGGCGAACAAAAAAATCTTGTTTCACCATGACATCACACCTGCCCATTCGTCGGTCGTTGCGATGGCTAAAATCAATGAATTGAAGTTCGAATTGTTCCCCCCAACCAGTATATTCACCGGATTTAGCCCCCAGCGACTATCATTTGTTTCCCAACCTTAAAAAATGGCTCGGAGATAAAAAATTTGAGAGCAACGAGGAAGTCATCGATGCTGTAAATAAGTATTTTGAGGGACTTGACATATCGGACTATAAAAATGGTATCACTGCATTAGAGCACCGTTATCAAAAATGTATTAATCTTGATGGAGATTATGTTGAAAAATAAAGCGAAAAAAAAAACAAAAAAAGTTGTTTTTCTTTATCAGGCCGGAAACTTTTCACCCCACCCTCGTATATCAAGATCAGGACCCTTGAACCTCAATCTTCTATATTCAATAATTATCAAAGTGTATTATACAATAGTATACACATTATATAACATAGTTCATATAGTTTATTTTTTAGATAATTTTTAAATAGTGTGACTTTTTGTTCTGATCTCTTTTAAAAATATATATAGTAACTCCTCGTTATAAAGGCAAAAAATTTTCTCAATACAAGCAAACTTACAATAAAAAAGGATCGAATACAAAAGCTGATAAGTTTATAACTGTCTTTTTTTTTAATTTTGAGAAATAAAATTCAATTTATTGCATTCATAAAATATTATATTATTAATGCTTGTTTTTAGGTTTATAAAAATATTACTAAGTTATTAATATTTTTCTGATTAATTATAAATTTAATTTAATTAAAAATTAAAAATGAAACAAAACACTATATGATTTAAGATATTTAGATATATATAATCAGATAAATATTAATATAATATTTAATTTAAAATATAATTAATATAAAATATATTTATTTTTAATAAAAGTATTGTATGTAACATGTTGAACGTCTAACAGAGTACGTTTCTTACTCAAATAATTAATTCTTTGTGTGATGAGAATTTGTTTTATTTAGATGAATAAAATCATCACCTACAAAAGAAAGAAATTTATTCGTCATTCAGATATAATGTTCAACATGTTAACTCGCTTTGTTTTTCTCAGTTGTTTCCTTTAGTTGTTTTACTCTCACCACACATACGTTACATTTTGATTTATATAGTTTTCATTTCTGAAAACTCTTTACTTTTTATTTATTCTTTTGTCTTTTGTTTTAAGAGACTAAACAGATTTATGGCTTATTGCTAGAAGAGAATATGATTTCTTCGCTCTATTAAAATTTTCTTTTAAATGTGTCCGCAAAGTTTCTCTTTCATCCATTTAAGACGCATTAGATTAGACTGTTTCGCATCTGTTGCTTTTGTTTTCATGTTCGTTCTTCTGTCTGTCTTTGATTTCATACAATATCTAATTCATGTCATAACAATTTCTTTAACGTAATGTGTGGAACTCAAATGTTTATTTTTTTTGTAGTATTAATCACAATTATGGAGTACAGTAATTATGACACGAGGCAGAATCTTAAATTCTGCAGGCTGCGTTTCTTCCGCTTGCGCTATACCTATCTTATCGTAGCTTGCACGACTTACATCTCAGCTGTAATTCTATACTTCGATATAAATGCAGTTTTAACATATCTTTGTCCACTACTAGATTGTCCGGTTTGTAATTATATATGGCATTACTTTTTCATAAAATCATTTCCTAGTATTCTATAATAGCGATTTCACAATTTATCTGATGATGAGCTACTTCCTTATTATTTTTTAAATTACCTTAGAATTTATTATTTTCCAATTCATTTTATACCACTTCATATTACGTGTTACATGTAAATCTTTAAACCGAAAATTTTGATTATAACGAGGAATTAATATATACATATATATAATATTATTAATATCTCAAACAATAAGCTTTAGACAGTTTTACAAAAACCTTGTTTTAGAATTTAGTCAGAATTGTATTTTCAAGGATAAAATATTGTTTTCAATCACACACTCTATACATATAAATATACATGTATAGAGTTTAAATGTACATGTAAATATAATATATGTATATTTACATATATAGAGTGATCGAAAGCAATCTTTTATCTTTAAAAATATATAATCCTGATTAAGTTCTGAAACAAATTTTTATCTTGTAAAACTTTGTCTGAAGCTTATTTTTTAAGTTATTAATAAAAATAATTAGCTTACTAGGAGTCGTGTACAGGAAGTACCCGGACACAGGAGCAACTTACTCTCAGATGCAAGCGTTTACATAAGATGCCTGTTGCTTATCTGATTGCCACAAGCTACATGTTAATATTCACAGTCAGCACAGAAAATCTATAGTTGATATTATTATATACAAGTACAATCTGTGAAATAAGTGATCTGCTCCTGTCGTGAAGTAAACAAATGTTGATGACTGATCATCTTTAGAAGAAACGTGTTTGATTATATGCTTCTCCTAAGAATTATCAATCAAATAATTAATTGATAGTGATTGATAGTATTGATAATGATTAATTGTAATGCACAGATTTATTCATATAGATTATATATTATAAGTGTGCGAGGAAATGTGAATAAGTGAGTAAGTGATTGAAAAGAAAGATAGAGAGAGAGAGAGAGAGAGAGAGCAGAACGTGTTTGCATGTGTGAGCGCGCACTATCGTAATGTTTTCCAAAACTATTGCCAGATTTAAAAATTTATAGTACATATAACAACAATATCAATATAAATTTTCTTTGCTGACTGTAACTATTAACACGCAGCTTATGTGTAGCGATCAGCTGATTGCAACAGGTACCCCACGTAAATACCCGTATCTGACAGTGAGTTGCGTCGCTCCTACTTATTTCTTGTATCTGATTCATAGTAAGTCAACTATTTCTAATAACTCAAAAAATAAGCTTCAGACATAGTTTTATAAAACAAAAAAATGTTTTTGGATTTAGTCAGATTATATATTTTTAAGAATAAAAGATTTTTTTGAATTATTTTGTATATCAGGAAGCTATCTTATTTTATTTTTTGGCAATCAACTATCTGGAAATTATGGGTCTTTAAACAAATAATTTAGCCAAAAGTTGCAATTTTGAGGAACATTATATCGTGACCTTGAATTGCCGTTAAATAGTTTTTTTAAGATCATATAAATGCCAGTGTTATTTTTTTAATACTGAAAGTATTAAATCAGAGACCGTTTAATTTGACGTAAAATAGTACTAGAATACCTTTAGTCTAAACTCAGTATTTAGAGAGATATGTTATGAAAAGAAAACGTTTCTTCTACTCTAAAAAAAATTATTTTAAATTTCTTTATCTGGAAATATGTATTTTTTTAACAGAATTGAATCTATAAAGAAATAAGTTAGTTTGTGTCTCTAACGGCAGATTCAAGACGCGGCAAAATTGAAATTTATAAATAGAACATAATGCTTGTTGAAAGTGACAGATATACGCAAAAGACATTGCTCTTGTATAATAAAATTTTTCTAAATGTAATCCTATTACTTAGAAATAAATTTGTGTTATCGATTTTTAGGCATACCTGTTGAGCTTGATCGCGGATTTTTCCAAAGCTATTTTGTGTTGCTACACAAGTGAGTAATTCCGTGCGTCCCATCAATGTTAAATATTCTGCTACCTTGTCATAAACTCCTTGCTCCAAATACTAAGTAAGACACAAAATATAACAAATAATCGTTCTTTCTTACAGATTTAACTGATATAAAATTATGATTTTATACGAAACAACTTCAAATCAATTGTAGATTTCGAATTAGTACTTAAAGATGAGAACTGCGTATACACATAGAAATATTTTTGAAATTTGGGGTTTTATTATTTTGCTTATTTATTTTATGTTATGTTATAGACAGAATACTCACTTGCATGGTCGATTGTAAATCAACAACAAAATATCGGTTTTGATGAGCATTTGCAGCGGCAAGACTCAACAAATAATCATTACGTGCTCCGGTTGATTTCTCTTCCAAAGCGTCCCGCTTTGAGCTCACCTGAATAGTCATTACTGATATTAATCACAGCTGTGATCACTTTATACGTCAAATATATAAGTAATTTTTTACTCTTCATGTAAATATATTTTTAGTTTATTATCATAAGTGTTATATTTATACTAATTGTTTGATATACCTTGGCGCTATTTTTCTGCAATGACGTTATCGACTGGAAAAAGGAGCCCTTCTTCTTCTTCAATCTACAAGCATTGATCGAACATAAATTATTACATGCTTAGACCAATGGATAATGGTTATGCTATTATATTGTGTAAACATTGTGTAAACAAATAAAGAAAAATATAATCAAAAACCCATGCTGTTTTGAAACAAAACTTTTGTCGCCATTGATAATAAAATAAAGGATAAGATTATTTAACTTTTGGGTAGATAATTTTGAACAGGAAAAATAAGAATCAACATATAAATCTATATAACTACACACACACATATATATACTCGTATATATCTTATACGTACTTTTCTTCAATATCTTTTGCTTTATCTCGCACATCATGTGCGCTATGTTCTTCGTCAAAGTAGAATTTTTTCGTCTTATCGACGTCTTGTACGCAGGTTTGTAGTTCCTTTTGTACTATCAATAATTGGTCAATAGCCTGAAAATTCAATTTTCACATATATGTTAAAAAAAATATTTATGTAACATGTAACTTGTGCTTTTCTCGTCTTATCCGTTAAAAAACTTTTATATGATCATACAGAAATGATTACATGTAATTATATATCAGAAATATGTTTATATATAAAGTGATATATTTCCGTATGAATATTTATACAGGGTGATTCATAACAACTCGTTATCCTTGAAAATAATTATTCTTGACTAAATTTTAAGACAACTTTTTATTCGACAAAATTTTGTTTGAAGCTTACTTTTTGAGTTATTAATAAAAATAGGTGACTTACCGCGAATCGAATACAAAAGAGATAGGCAGAAACGGCGCAACTCACTGTGATTGACAATGATTTATGTGATGCACGGATTAAGTGATACAAATTACGAATGAATAAATAAATAAGTGAGAGAAAAAGAGAGAAAGAGAGAGAGACAGAGAAAGATACAGAAACAGTGTGTAGCGATCAGCTGATAGCACCACACGTAATCGCCTGCGTCTGACGATGAGTTGCTCCCTGCCTATCTCTTGTATCCGGCTCGTGGTAAGTTAATTATTTTTAATGTTTATTTAGTTTTTACTATTTAGTTATTGTTAGTACTTTTATAATACTTTGTGTGTATTTTGTGTATAGATAAACAAAAAGCAAAAGTTATTATTCATACCTTCTTCGAGATTTGTAGTTTGTGGATCCTGAGGAACTTGGCATCATCAGCAATCTGCTGCTGGAAGACTTCAACAGCGGCAAGACGCGCTCGAGCCAGCTTCTCGTTCTCTTCCAGCACGGTTCGCCACACATTCCACATGTTCCTGTAATCATTCGATCGACCACCCGCTGATTGCTCTTTACTTATGACCTTTCTTCTCCTTGGCAAACTTCCTCAATCGATAAAGTAGCCAAGGATTGAAAGCGGTATACTTTCGTATAGAAGTTGAAGTTTTCGTACGTTGTGAAAGTGTTCCTTATGCTTATTAACACTGATATATTGATTTTTCTATTATTATTTGCTATACAATACTTTTATTTTTTTAAAGTATCTTGCATAATTAATATATATAATCAATTAAATTAATTTATTATTAAAGAATGATTAAAATGTGAGCAATTTATAACGGTATGATCTTTCTACACATATAAAAATGCAATAACCAAAAAGTTTTAAGTTTAAAACTTACATACACCAAATTTTACTTTTTACATGAAATTAATTACCATTTTTCTTCCGCTCCATCGACTTTAAGATCTGGTATGTTGGGTATTTTCTTGTTCAAATATGCAGATGATATTTTGAGTAACGCCTAGAAAAATCGATTTTAAAAAAACTTGCTAATAATAAAAACATATAAAATATACATACATTATAACCACTATGAAATTTTTATAACTTAAATATTTTTACATAACGTTTATAAATTGTGAATATATTTCTTTAATATTTATTTTTGCTATTCTTGCTAGTTTGATTAACAATAAGTGATAACAGTTGACATATTATAATTAATTAATAATAAGAAAACCATGTTTTTGAAAATAACAAATATTTGCAGAATAAACAAAACTAATATAAGTTACTTACCTCAGAATAAGATTTTTCGATAGCAGATTTTTTTATTGTAAAATTACTGAAAAAAAAACAAGTAATAATAATTTAGTGTTAAAAATAACAAATAATGTACAAATATGTTACTTTTAAAAGTATTATTTTAGTAAGAAGTATAATATTTATACATTAATAAGAGTAGAGAAAGCTCTACAAAATATATACGTATATATTTTTTTATTTTGATTGCAATATGTAAAGTTTGTATACTTCAATATTATTTTACATATATTATACTAAAATAACTTGATGCATTGTGAGTTGTGATTATTTATTGATATACAAGACTTACCGTATATCTTCTAGAAGATCACACTCGTGTTGATTTTTTGCTTGCAATTTTGCTGCCTGTTCCGCATGCACATTTTTTAGAAATTTTGCATAGTTTCCCTTGCAAGCAAACAAAGAAAACTTCATTTAGAGAAAAAATATCTAATCAAACCTAATCTAAAAAAAATTTTATTATTTTAATTTTTTTACAGTTATTTTACTTTTGACTTATATCAGGACTGCAACTTTTTATTTGTTTTATTAGTACTAGAGGGATAGTTCCATACAAAAACTTGAGTTTTATTATTGAAAAGAAAGTTACAATATGATATTTATAATATACTAAATACACTTTAAAGTTTAATATTTTAACACTTTATTGATAAAATATCGACTCAATGTTCAATAATAATTAAAAAAGTAAACAATCAATTATTTATTTTGGCTTACTGAAATAAACTTTTGGTTGCAAATGTAACCTATACACTCTAAGATTCTTGTATATGATGTACTAAGATAATAAAGATGTGGCACCGGGTTGTGTTAATCTAAACCTTTGACGCTGTGTATTTATGCGCATTTATGCAGAAAACAGTGAAAATGACTCCTCAATTAAGACATAAAAGATAATGTATTAAAGAAAACACTCTTAAATTTGTATAAACGTAACTTGTTTAATTATATTTTCTAAACTAAACGGTCTACAATTTTGAAACTTTTTTATAATATTTATATATTTCTGTTCTATATCAGATTCATTTTTAATAATAATCTTAAGAATTGTATCAATATAGTTAGTTTGTATCACTTATAATTAAGAATTGTATCGATTATAATTAAAAATCTTAACTTGAGTTGCATATATATATATATATGCATCAAGTGTTAAAACTGCACATTTTCCAATTATCTCAAAAACTAGACGGTCTAGAGGTTCCAATTGCATAATAACATAGAGAGCACTTAAATGTACTTGTAGTTTTAAAATTTTAGCACATTATAAAAAAATTTTGTGCAAGTACTACCTTAATTCAAATTCTTCAGATTATTTTTGTTATTGCGATTTTTTTCTTTCTGTTATATATATTTAGATACTTTTTAAAGTACACATACATTATACGTGTGTGCGCAAAGTGTGCAATTTTTATTAAATTTTTGTTTTTATATTGTTATTGTGCATTATTGTACATTATCACATCAATGCTTTTAATATACAAAACTTGCATATATGTAAAATTTCTATAGTGTCTCCACCTAAAGTGCAAATTGGAAATCAATGCCAATCAATGATACATATCAATCTACTGCAATGCATTTTCATAATTTTGCACACAAACATACATATACGCAAGCGCGCGCACAACATACACACACACACACACACATGTATATAAAATATCTATTTTCATACCTAAACTGCGAAAAGACAAAAATAAAAGCAGGCTACTTGTAAGATTTCTTTCTTTTTTCAACGTAAAGATATTGACTACAATTACGTTATGTATCGTTTTCATCTTTTGGGAAATGTGTCTTTACATTTCTTTTCATTAATATTTTCTTTACAGACGTGAAGAAAGATTTCTTTTTCTTCCAACTAACGAAAAGATTCGGCTCAAGTAGTTTAAAACTAACAATTTCTTTATTATTTCTTTATTATTTCTCTAACAAAATCTTTTTCTTGTAGTTTAGAGGATATATGTGTATATTTGTATTATATATATTTTTCTTAATTTGTATTATATATATTCTTTTAATTTTTATTACTTATTATTCGTATGTTAATAAAACATATTTTCTATCAAGAATTCTATATAAAAATAATACATCTTTTTGTAGAAATTAAAACATCATCACAGAACAATTCTTTAAACTTAATTGCCTTTAAACTTAGTTTTCACGATAATAATAAAAACAAGATCCTTGACACGTTTTTTAAGCGCATTAACTTCTTGTATTTTAAAACCATAACTGAAAAACTGATCTTCTTTTACATTATGTCCGACGTAAAAATGTTCTTTCCACAACTACATCACGGGAAATGAATTTTACAAAATTATGAAAGTTGTAACTTGTTTGCTATTTAGGGTGTGGATTATCGAATCACAGACTTCTCTTACTTTTCTCGGTGGTGGTTGCATGCTGAAGCAGGAGTTTTTCCCACAGCGCCGGGGAGTAGAGGAGGAGGGGCAGTTTTGCTCTTGCTCACCCTCGCTCACTCGCGGCTCACCCTTTATGCGCACACACTTCACGCACGCACGCACTTGCGTTAAGTGCACCGGTCGCGCGTCCGTACGCTACTGATCTCCTGCCCTCCTGAGGCCACCGCCGTCGCCAGGGGTCTCATAGCATACCGCTTATTGATCGTCCAACCCCTTCCTTGGACAGCGCTTGCGCTGCTCCCGGGTTGGCGAATGACTTCTTCTCCAACGACCTAGTAAACCTCGAAAATATAAGGAATTATCAAAGAAAAGTGGAAGTGGAAGGGAAAGGATAGATAAAGAATAGATCGAAAGCTTGAGTGGAAGTTCTAGTTGTAACTTTACTCAATAATTTAAAATATTATGAGCTACTCTCTTCAAATACATATACTATTCTCTTTATACAAGAAAAACTAAACTATATGCATATACATATTTATGTATAATATACAAGACTTTTATGATTGTATTTGTTCAATCATATAATTTTTAGAGACAGACAAACAGACAGACAAGCACACGCGCCACACGCACTCACACACGCATGTACGTACACATACACACAAAATACATATTGAGCAAGAGAGAAAAAGAAAAAGACTTAAAAAGAACTTTCAAAAAATTTAAAATTTTGAATATTTTAAATAAGTGAGATTTTAACAACTTTAACGTTGTCGTTCAATGAATATGGGATAAGGTTTTAGAATGTCAAAAAATATAAAACATCTACATATTTCGAAATTGTATTCAACTTTATTTATAATGATATAAAACATAAGCCGGAGAAAACGCCGGTAGATGCATTATTATGTTGTTAAGAGGATGCTGAAGCGATGGCCGAATTAGAGTTCGACAACCGCTATGCTGTCTAGTAGGTAGCGCCCTCTAGTCGGATCGAGACAAGCATAAATGACATGATAGAGACAAGGATAGATATATGTCTCTCCGGCGCTTCTGCTAAAATTGCATTAATCTTACTTTTCCACTTCTTTTCTTATAAGCTGCAAAATCCCTTTTTGAAGCACTCAAAATATTCATCTATGTCTCTAGAAGTAGAAAGTACAACCTTCTTTTGGATTTATACTGCTAATTTTGTATATAAAGTGAAAATGTGGATTATGTCGTAACAGTCCATAAACTTGTTTTCGTTTTTCTTGAATGTTTTTAAACTTCCCTTCTTCACTTCTTCACTTCACTTAAACTTCACTTCTTTAGCAAATTCTCTTTAATTCTAGAGAACTGTTTTCTAATCTGTGCAATAAAAATACGACTAAACTAGAAAAGTAATATACATCGATAAAACAGGATGATTCAGCATCCTCTTAACAGCTTATCGTACAAGAAAGTTACACTTTAGTCATATAAAATTGCGAAAACTTGTGAAGAGAGCAAGAAATGACTGATAATAGAGTATATATAAATTTTACAATATAGTGTCTGAAAAATTTTGACACAGTCAAAGTGTAAAGATAGGTTGAGTCAATCTGAAAAGTCTTAATATAAGTCAATGTGTGAGAAGCGATGGTCTGAACTCTAGAAGTATATAATTTCCAGTTGTCAACGAAAAAACATCTTACCTTATACAATCTCCAAACAAGCGAGCAGCATGTGACTTATAGCTTCTTGCGATCAGCTGATTTTTACAATTAAAAATCATACACAAAGTCTGAATCATCGCTTCTCACGCGCTCATTGGCACACATTAATTCATTAATTCAGTAATAACTTAATAAATAGTGCAAAATTTGTAAAATGGTAAATAACTGTTTGGGTCAGATTGACCCGATCTACATTCACACTGGCTGTGTCAAAATTTTTCAGACATTCTATACATATATACAAGATATATATAACAGTAATAATTTAATTCGCGGTATTACAAATCAGAAACGCCAAAGGTGTAAAATCAAACGCAAATAAAGTTAATCAATTGCATAGTCAAATTTCCAAGATACAAAACTTCTGATACCTTCTATTTTCAATACTGAATGCAATAAATAAATACATATATAATCTAAAACACTTATATCACAAGAAATACTGGATATCTCAAAACCATCAAAATATAATATACAATATATAAAGAGAAAGGACAATTTGGCTTCAGGGCAGGAAGAGGTGCAATAGATGCAATATACGTTCTGAATTATGTAGTGAATAGAAAAATAGCAAAAAAGAAAGGAAAGGTCTTCGCATTTTTCGCGGACTTGAAAATGCTGAGAAAGGCTGGAGTAGAGNAACAGCTAAGGAAAAGAATTATGGAGATGTATAGGGAAACGAAGAACAAGGTAAAAGTAGGAAGAGACAACAAACGTGGAGCATTGGAGAAAGACTATTTCAAGAAGACTTCGTGAGAAGGGTGAAGATGTTTAATGCGTTGGTGGGAAGCGTGGCGCTGTATGGGGCGGAAATATGGGGATGGAAAAAGGAAGAAAGACTAGACAAAATAACAAGAAAATACATGAAGTGGATCTTAGGATTAGACAGGGAAACGCCAAACTACATTATAAAAGAAGAGACAAAAATGAAGGAAATAAGAATAGAAGCCATCCAAAGAGCGGTAAAGTACGAAGAAGAGACACGTCAGTCGGAAAAGACGATAGTAGTAGAGTGTATGAAAGAAATAGAGAAGGAGGGAAGAAGAGGAGAGGTAAGCAAGTGGGAAAGGTGGAGACAAGAGGTGATCAGGGAAGCGGGCATCAGTAAGAATGAGATGAAGGCGAAGAGAGAGAGGGAGGAGACGAAAGAAATAGTGAAAGAAATAGTCGGAGAAATAAAAAGAAAGGATAAGGAGGAAAGAAGAAAGAAAATAGAGGAATCAAGATACAATGTGACAGCTATAAAAACGTAGTAACGGAAGAATTACCGGCATATCTGAGAGGAAAGAGAAGAAAAAAGAAGAGAATAATAATTGCAAGAAAATGATTCGTGTGAAAACAAAATGCAAGGGAATCAACATTGGTTGGAAGAAGAGGATAGGAAGTGTAGAGTAAGGAAAAAATAGAAGGTATCATACATGTATTGAAAGAATGCAGGGAGACTCGAGACGAAATATCAGAAGAAGAGTTTTTGAAAGAAGATGGCAAAGGATATGAAATAATGAAAAGAATAGAGGAAGTAAGGAGAAAAAAGGTGAAAGGAAGAAAAAAGAAAGAGACGGAAGAAACAAGAAAATGACGTTGAAGAACGAAGGTGCCAAAGGAACAGAGTGATATTAGGTTAAGGACAATAAGAATAATAAGAGAAGATGAGAAGGGATAGAGTATTATAGAATAGAAGGCAATATTTAAAGTATTTAAAGTATTTAAAGTATATAAAGTAAAGCATTTATGATATTTAAAGTATTTTTTCGAAGTGGTTAAAGAAGCAAAAGCAACATAAGATGCAAAAATGTAAAGTGTAAAGTTTAATGTTAATGTTAAGCATCAAAATAAGAGAATATTGATGATATAAGATATGATATGTAGACAAAATGTAAAGACAACTGGAAGTCATCCAAAGCCGAAAGTCATGGATTAAGGAATAATAAAATACAAAAATAAAAATATACAATATATACAAGATGTCTGAAAAATTTTAACACAGCCAAAGTGTCAAGATAAGGTGAGTCAATCTAAACAGAAAAGTCATTTGTTATGTTACAAAATTTGCAATAATTACTGAGTTATTACTTACTACATGTGACCTAATAATGAGCGCGTGAAAAGCGATGGTAGATTCTGTAGACGTGTTTTTCAGTGAAAATCAGCTAATTGCAAAAGCTATATCACACCCCGCTTGCCCGCTTGTTCTGCTTCTCGCTATTAGAAAGAGTTGCAAGAGGTGAGCCATTTTTCTTTACAATTGAAAATCAAACATGTGTGCCTATAGAGTCTGCACCAAATTCTCGCTTTTCACGAGCTCAGTGAGTCATATTTATTAATTACTTACTAAATTAATTACTACTTAATTATTTACTAAATATTGCGAATTTTACAAAATGACAAATAACTTTTTTGTTCAGATTGATTCAATCTATCCTCATATTTTGACTATGTCAATATTTTTCAGACACTTTGTGTGCGCGCGTGTGTATGTGCGTGCGCGTGTGCACACACACACATTACAGAGTCGTTGGAACATTCTAAGACAAAAATTTTAATTAAGAAAAGTAAACTTTTTTTTTAGGAAACTAGAGAGACTATATAATAGATTTCGAGTTATGAACGAGTAAGGATTATCAATTATCAATATATTAGACCTAAGATACAACAAAGAAACAGCAAGCACTTTAAGAAGGTCCTGGACCTTCCTGTTATATTGATCGAGTAATTCGTATTTTAGATTGCATTTTGTATTTATTGCCCGGATAGAAAACCGGCTCTACAGAATAAAAGAAAATAATGAAATTAATCTCGGGTACTTTTCAATATATCAAAAATTTACCAAAACTTTTTGAAGTTACAATCACTTCCATTTTTATTCGTACTGGCATTTAAAGTTTAAGAGTTATGCATAAGAACCAAAAAGTACCCAAGATAGACATAACATTCAAGAATGTAATGGTAATGAGACTATTAGATTACGATTTGGAAGCCCCTCCCCCCCCCCTATAACACACAAACAATCTACACTACGTTTAAATCTAACATAACTTCTTTTTACATTTATGTCCTTATTTCTCTAATGACGTTCCATAGTTGATGTCACTTGTATCGGTAACAGTAGTCACCCCTGATAAGAAAACATTTACAAAATTATGTGACGAAATCTTACACTAAAATTGTAATTTGCACTTATACAGATATATTTGAGGAAATAGATGTAAAAACATTGATCTTTTATAAAATATTTGTTTGCAAAATTACTTTCCAAATACTATTTCGGCAAAAGAATAACGATATGGCGAATCATCTTAGCAGTATATTTGCAAAATTAATTTCAAAAAGAAATTGTCCAATAATTGAGAAAAAAATTTCAGTTATGTGATGTTTAATATACGTAGAGAAATATAATTGCATATGAAGAGAGAAATCAACTTAATTCATGTATATACTTATAGAAATGCATAACGACTTTTTCGCAATTTTTGACAAATATGTACAAAATTTTATTTCGACAAAACCGTTGCGTTATGGCGAATCATCTTAGTGCAATCATTGCAAAATCGTCGTCATTTACGATGCCATTTTTTTGTGCAATATTTTCACACTTTGGAGAACTTCATACTTATACTTTATACGGGATTAGATTATTCATGTATTTAATAGTTCTTCATTCTTTTCTAAATTTTATTTTTAAGAAAAAACGCTATTTTTTCCGACGCGCAAGTGTTGTTTTATAAAAAAGTTTTTAATATTAATTTTATTTATCACTCACTGTAAAATAATAGTTTTTACACTTGATTGAATATTAGGGGGGGGGGGTAATTAGATAAGAGGCTATCTTACATGTAATGAGTAATAAAGAGAGATTGATGCAGTAACGCAGATAGCGCGCCCCTCCAACGCAACCAATGTATGTATTTTTTTTGGTTGTCACCAACAATCTATAATAAATATAACTATGTAATCTCGAACCGTAAAATTTGCAACACAAATAGTTAAAGCCAATTCAATGTTGCGACACACACACACATACACACACAACATATTTATATATAGTTATAAAAATATATACAAATTATATACAATATTTATTTATAGGATATCCGGTAATAGCCCTATTACCGCTCGTGAGGAGATAGAGAGGGTTATATTGAGTTAAAATGTACTGTCACTTCACTTTGCAAGGATTGCAATAATTACCAAGTTATTAAGTAGTAAAGATCCGCGAATGAGCGTGCATCTATGTATAAAAGACAGATTAGCATTTCGCGCGCTTATGGTTATTATAGTTAATATAAACAATATATAAAATATTACATAAAAACCAATAAACTAACAATGATAAAACGCGAAAACATAATATACATATATATTTGCGACATCCAAACATTATTTTTACATTTAGAAACAGAACATAAATTCTCAATATTAGTTTTATATCATAAGAAAATCAGATAGCTTCCTAGACTACTAAATCTATAGAAAACCCATTTACCAATCAATATCTACATCACGCCATCATCTAGCTCAAAAACAGTTATAAATTCATTAATATACAGAATATTCATTATGACAAAGACAGCATTCAAAATAAACACAAAGAATTGAAAAACATTATTCAACAAAATGGTTACACATAACAACAAATATAAACAAAGTAATCAGAAAACATCAAACAAAACTATCTCCCAACACACCAAAACGTTCAATCACGAGAACATTAAACTTAATTTAACTTACATAAACGAATCATTTTCCTTTCATATATACATGACGTTACAAACAAGATTGGCAGAATTTTGAACAAACACAACATAAGAATTATTTATAAACTATTGAGAAAAATAGGATAGATTCTTAACTACCTAAAAGATAAGACCTTCATTGAATAAAGTAAAAGTATACAAAATACTTGTTTACGCAGAAAAGAGTATACATAGAAGAAACTGGCAGACTAAGTACATAAATAAAAGAAAATAGATCAACAATACGACTAAAGCACCATACACAATCAATGTTGGCAAAACACTATTTAAAAACTGATTACAAAATCATGTTTGAGTAAATTATAGTACTAGTCAAAATTATAACATTTTTCCAGAAAATATATGGAATTCTTGTAGTTACATAAACATCTAATCTTGACAGGAACAATGACCAAATAATCAATCTACTACCATCTATTTTTTTCAAATCAGTGATACATTTAATAATATCACATTCTCTATACTACTTTACTTCTTTTCTATTACATTCCCCTTTTCCGCAACTTAGCGCTATAAAAAGATACTTAGCCAAGAACACTTCATCAGGTTATTCTTGAAACTTGATGAAGGAAACTGAAATGTCTACAAAACTTCGATATAAAAAAAATTATATTCAAGAATTTTTATAACACACCGCAAAAGCATCAAATATCAAAGAATAAATGCTGTATATGCAAAATTAATTTTTAATCTCATAACTGAAAATTTATTATAGTCTCCATTTTGTATTAGAAGTTTTGTCTTAGAATATTCTAAAAACTTTGTCATTATATATAAAATATTTTGATTTTTGGATATCCTGTATAGACAAAAACATCTATTTTTAATTTTAATAAGTTTTTTTTAAGGTAAAGAGTGATTTAAGAAGAAAAGAGCATGTTGGTATTAATATCATCACGTCTAAAATCACTTCTTTATACATAAGTTATTCAAGTTTGTTTCTTTTCGAAAATTTTGTTTGCATGCTTTTCAACAGCATTTAAGGATTTTCTCTAATTTCTTTTCAATTTTATGCTGCAACACTTCGAATTCACTTTAATTTATTTCTTCACTTTAATTTATTTATTTTTAAGGAAGTTCGTCAGATGGTAACGGACCTAAATCTTGATCGCCAGATCCCATTAGTCCGTCTACATCAGCATCAGAACCCATAGGAAGACCAACTATTTCCGGTTGAGGAACTGCTCCTTCAGCAACCTGTAGAAGCATAGGATTTCCAGCCGCATCTAGAACAGGATCAGCTGTTGCTTCAGCGAGATTTGTCACTGATTTGGACTTAACGCATTGAAAGTCTACGTGGCGACTTTTAGCCTCTTCTTTCTCCCAAGACATGTGAATAAAGGGTCGTTGAACATAATTGTAGATGACTTCAGCACGACCACCGGCGCGTTTTTTCACTTTTTCTTTATAAGTCGGATAACCTTCGATACCTAAGCGAATCTTTTTCAAACCTCGTTCCTTCATCACTTGTTTGGCTACGTCCCGATTTTCAATATATTTGAAAAAGCGATACATCGCTGTGCTGTTAACAGCTGAAAATAAAAAAAACAAAAAGTAATAGTGAGACTAATGCAATATTTGATAAATCTCGGTATTAAAAGAGAAATATTAATTAATTAAGAAAATAAGTAAAAATAAGAAATATAAGAAAATAATAATTAAATAAGAAAATATATTTGCTGAGATTTATTATATATTAATTAATAAAATATTGAAGAAAATTTTGGAGAGCAATATTTGAGAATTAGTCAGGTCGTATATAAATAGATTCTAACATTTCCTGAATATATAAGATTAAATATGGAACGCGCTACCACAATCATAATATCACAACCTTGAAACCATTATCCAAGAAAACATATTTCAAGAAAAGATGGAATTAATAGAAACTATGCACTTTCAAAGCAAATTGATTTTTATCGAATGCATAATAATATTGATATTGCAATAAAAAGTGTGCAAAATTAATGCGTATTATGTTTAAACAACTAAATAGATTGCAAATGCTTTCTTCCAAAGATCAGCCAAAACTTAAGAACAAATTAAAAAATAAATTATACAAATTTTTCTCCAAAAATACATAAAAAGATTATGAATTTTAAAAGCTCGTGAAAACAATACAAGGCAAACATGTTTCGTGAAAAATCAAGAGTAAATCGCGCTATTTTTATGCTTAAACAAATTATAATATGAAAAATATCAATTTAAAATTATCTCTTTTCTTATGTATCGTCTACTCACTTTGAGAGTATTCTTCTCCCATTTGAGGCGGATATTCTTCATCCCAATCAACGATGTCATCTTCGAGTAGAACCACAATGTGGCATTCACGATCGCCACGTCGTGCACTGTTCACCATTAATGGCAAAATCAAATCCTCTAAGAACACTTCAAACTGGCAACGCGCACCTTCGTTTGATAACTCATGTAATAATCCTCCTGTGACAACAAAAAAATAGATATAAATCTTAATTGATAACTCAAACAATAATATTAAAGACTTTATAATATAATACGCTTTGTCATTATATTACTAAAATATTATAAGAGTACACATGTCATTTAAGTTTTTTTAAGAGTACAAATTCTTGATTTTTTTTTGTCAGATTCATTGTTTAATCATCTAATTTAATCATCATTGACTATCATCGACTATCTTGCGTTATTTATCGAATAATTTATTTTGTCTCAGAACTTGTGTGTGTGTGTGATGACAAACACAATAAAATCAAAACTTTCACAAAAACCAATTCCTACACCTGATAGTCAAGCCTGATAGGTGAGAACAGATAGCTGTTACAAAATCAATAACTAATCTGTCTGAAATTTTACGTACAAGTCTAAAGAATAGTAGATATCAACTATCACGTCATTTTGATATTAGTAAGACCATCTCATATATTTTCTAAGGAGTTTATTAAACAACTTTCATATATATATGTTTTAATATAAAAAATAGCACGGTTAGGTTAACGAGGTTTTTTAATACTTACTAAGATTCTGACATTTGACTGTACTAGCATCAAAAGGCACCAACAAGTAATCACAAGCCTCTCGAAGTTCCTGAACACTTACAGTTGGAGGACACCGAATTACTCCGCTTTTGTAGAATTCCAAAATGGCGCGAAATACCATGGCAGAGATACCGTCAGCAACCTCATACTCGCCTCGTTCATTAGGCTGAGCATATTCTACACCAGAGCTAAACATGCGACCTAACATAGTATTAGGATGTGCTGTGAATAAAGCTGGATCAATGATAAACCTAGGAAAAAACAGAAAAAAATTAAAACAATAGTATAAGAAATATATTTTGAATAGCAAAATAATTGTTTATATTACCTAGTGTTATCAACGATAAGAGTGATTCTTTCGTCGCTGGCAGGTTGATTGCTAGTTCCGGTAGTGGACACTGTTGTTGATCCAGTTGATATGGTATTGTCCTTGTTACTAGTTTGGTTTTGATTTTGATTCTGTTTAATCATACCTAAGTTTGAACGAATCCTAGAAAAAAGCAATTAATCCTCTTTTTTTTAATTAAGAAGAATATAATACAACATACTTCTTGTTGCAAAAAAAGCCCTAATTATTTTTATTGTATAAAGTAACGTATAAAACTAACGCGATTTTTGAAACCTACCTTGCAAGTTGTGAAGCCTGGATGTTCTATTTTGGAATATCACATTATATAGTAGAAAAAAATAATAATATGCTTATGAAAAATACAGAATGCAAAGCTGAGATTTATGATTTTTCTGATATTTCTTTGGGATAACTATTTATAGCTGAATGTATCTGTGACTTAAACTAAAACTTTTTCCTAACTTTATTCATTACGTGCGTTTACCTGTTATGATGACTTGTGAGATTTGTGCCATGTGTGTTTTTGCCAGAATTGAAAGAATGACAGTGTCGATCGCCACTGCTGTCCCTCTGTACCAGACAAGATTTCGGCTTCGAGGAGCCACCACAACTATACATGCACAGAACAACCACGTAATCTTATACTAAATGTCCACTACATAAGCAGCTGTTTAATTATTCCTACTATATCACTCTACAGATCTATTGCTTCTAATAAGCTTAACATATGTACAACTTTACATAAAAAATAAAATAAATATGGACTATATTAAAATTAATATATATAAATTGTATATATAATAATATATATACAGGGTGTCCGACAATTAGTATAAAATCTCTTGTAGGCAGGTAGAAGGAGTAAAACTGAGTCGAAAAGTCCTGAACCATTTTTTTCTATTANATATAATAAAGGAGTAGTTAATAAATAAATCAAGCCAATCAGTGCTGATCTTTAGCCGGGCGCACGTCAGTGAACCACGCGCGGTGTGCGTGAGCGTTCCGCGCGGCTCACACATGCGCCCGGCTGAAAGTCGGCGCTGATTGGATTGATTTATTCATTGATTACTCCTTTATTATATGTAATAGAAAAAAATAGTTAAGTAATTACTATTAACTAACTACTCAATAACTATTACGAATTTTGCAAAATGATATATAACTTTTCTGTTCAGATTGACACAATTTATCTTCACACTTCGGCTTGGTCAAAATGTGGGACACCTTATATATATACCATATTATCCATAAAATTACGAATTATCGTAATTCCGTGGTATACTACGGTTGGCTGAATTTACAACCAATCTTGCCTTAGTTGGCTAGATCACATACACGAGGTGTGAATCCGATTTCTATGTAGCACACCTTGGATAATGCTAATACTGGCGGTATTCTAATATTCAATCTTCATAACTCAAAAAGTATTTAATGAAAATAAACTTTATTGTAGTGTTTTGGAAAGCTTTTGAATTAAGATTAGATTAGGTTAGACATAAAAATCTGCAATAAAAAAAAAAAAAAAAAAATAGAAAGTTCTATTTTAAAAAATTGATGTGACCTTGACCTGACCTTGGCGGCGCCATCTAAGGTTATATTGATACAATCAGTAAATAGATTCTTTTAAACTCTACAAATTTGTCTGGAACATTTTTTTGTAAAGTTTATATTTTGAGATATTCAAGGGTCCCCACCTTTTTGGAACACTCTGTATATATACAGAAAAGTGCACCATATCGTTCCGCGTGAGAGGAAATTTTTCCTTCCAGCAATCCCTACTACCGTGCTCCATTCTCCGCTAGCGACCCGAGATTCGATCTATATACTGACGCGATCGATAGTGCCGACGCTTGTTTGTTATTACCATAAATCACGGACATCGAAAAGAACAATGCGTCAAAAATTGTTCAAAATTGTTCGTCAAAATAACGAACATTTCGCTAATAAACCGACAATTTTTATATACTTTAATATGCATGTATAAAATGTAATTTTTTATCATAAAAAAGTAAAAGTAAAAATTATCATATTTAAATATACTTATAATTAATATTTCTTTATTTGATTATTATTAGTATTAGTATTAGTATTAGTATTAGTATTAGCATTAGCATTAGCAATTACAAACATAACTATTGTAATACTGTCTTGATATTTTTTATTCTCAATATTTTATAATGATAGTTTACTATAAACTTCATTTTTAGTTACAATCGTGTACTTAATTAAATGTTTTATTGTTTTGCATTTGTTGCGTAGACAAGTTTGTCAGAAAGAACTAATAATAATTAAATAAAGAAATATTGATTATAAGTATATTTAAATATAATAATTTAAATTTTCAATTTTACTTTTCCGGTATGGTAAAAAATTATATTTTATACGTGCATCTTAAAGCATATAAAAAATCGGCGGTTTATTAGCAAAATATCTGTTGTCAGATTTTGGCGTAAAGAATTTTTGACGCATTGTTCTTTTCGATGCTCGTGATTATGGTAATAACACTCAAGCGTCGGTATTATCGATCGCGTCAGTATATTGATCTCGAGCCGCTGGCGGAAAATGGCGCGCGGTAGTAAGGACTGCCGGAAGAAAAATACTTCTCCTCCAGAGGCGTATTTAACGTCGGTGCAACCGGTGCGATGCACCGACGGGCCCCGGGATCTGCGGGCCCCCGGTGCATGATAAACATTTATAAATTTATAATATTCATAACATTACCTATCGGAGTTGCGAGTGCCGAAAGATCATTTAGTGTATTAAGGAGACTTAAAAGTTATTTAAGAAGTACCATGACACAGGAAAGAACATCTGATCTAACTTTATTATCAATAGAAAAAAATGTTTTGATTAATTTAAATTTGGAAGATGTTGCAAACAAATTTATGTCGGTTAAAGTTCGAAGAGGTGTTCGTTTCTAAATTTGCATACAAATAAAAAATCATTAAAAACTTTTGTCCAATTGCCTTTAATAAATAATAATAATAATAATAATAATGATAATAATAATAATTATTATTACTATTATTATTATTATTATTAATTAAAGGGTTCTCTCATTTTTGTCCTTGCACCGAAGTTTTACCAGTCTTAAAAACGCGCCTGTTCTCCTCACGTGGAACGATATGGTGCACTTCTCTGTATATATACATATATATACATGCGCGCACGTGTGTGTGTGTGTGTACAGTAGCGTCTCGCTAACTTTCTGTTCCTCGATTCCGCAAGCGGAAAGATGTCGAGGGAGATATTGTTTCGAGAATTGCCGGCTGTTATCTGTGATTGGTTCGACCACGGGCTCGACCGCCTTAGAGTCATAACCAAAGCCTCGATGAAGCACTTCTAGAAATTGGTAGAGATGACTCTCGGCATGATACCGGAAGAAAAATTCGGTATCATTCCGAGAGAGAGATAGTTTAGCGAGGAACTACTGTATATATATTTTATGTTACATATGTACATGCACATACACATATATGTACATAAAATAATATGTTTATAATGTATGTAACACTTTCAGATATATATTATATTTACATAAATATCAAACATATTTGTATATGCATTTATGTTTAGCCTGTATGTGTATTTGTAATCGAGAAACTTCATGTGTACATGCAGATTCTATTTTAACCCTTTGCACTCGAGCGGCGCCGATTCGGCGCCCGGCCAATTTGAAGTGGCAACTCGAGCGGCGCCGATACGGCGCCCGGCCGATTTGAAGTAGAAACTCGAGCGGCGTTGCTACGACGCTATGGTCTTCTATAGTTCGATCTCATTATTTACAGTGTGCGATAAGATACCTTTCTCGGAGGTACTTTCCTGGACTCGGCTTCGCTGTCGTTGTGGCCAAATCTTACAACTCAGTTCAGTTAGTCTCAGTGTAGCATTCGGTTGAAACAGTCTTGACAGTAAATCTAGCAATCGAAAAGTGTTTGAGCCCCAAAAAAATGGAGGAAGATCGCATGAGCTCGAGTTCGGACGAATTTGATTTTGGCGCTTTAGACAATGAGCTTACATTGATTTCCGGTGGATTACGTCGCGAAAGAGACGAATCCAGTGAAGAAGATAGTGATGTGGTAAGAGGTGTGAGGCGACGAAAAATAAGAATTATAGAGAGCGATACTGAAGTTGAGAGTGATGTTGAAAGTGAAGCTGTGGAAGATGCAAGTAATTCAACATGGGTACTTTGCGAAGACTATAACGAAGTACCGCCAATCGTACCATTTATACCAGGCCAAAACATCACAGCAACACGGATAGCTTCTAACACACAACAACCAAAAGATTTTTTCAAACTGTTTTTCACGAATGAACTTGGGAGAAAAATTATTCAGCAAACCAATTTATATGCAAAGAGAAGACTGGAAGGAAAGACACTATCTGCAAATTCAATTTGGCGAAGCTGGCGGGATGTGACCCTCGAAGAGTTCTGGGCATTTCTTGCTGTCATCATCAACATGGGGACAATGCCGTTGGCCAATTTACAAGAATATTGGTCGAGGGATGCCGTTAGTTACATTCCTTTTTATGCAGATACATTCACCAGAGATAGATTCAACCAAATCTTCTGGATGCTTCATCTAGAAACCATCCCAACAAACAGCACTCCACGAACGCGCCTACAACGCGTAAGTTGTTTTCTGGATTATGTCAGCTCTAAGTTTTTGGACTATTTCATTCCGGGCGAACACATATGTGTGGACGAATCGACGATAAAATTCAAGGGTCGAATTTCATTTATAACATATAATCCGAAGAAGCCAACAAAATGGGGTATTAGAGTTTATGCCCTAGCGGATTCAAAAACTGGCTACATTTGTTGCATTTTGCCGTATTATGGATCACTCCCTACAGAGCTCTTGACCAGACCCGATTTACCAGTATCAACACGAATCCCGATACACTTATACCAAATGCTGTTGAAGAAAATTCCAGGTGCTCGGGGGCACCATATGTACACAGATCGCTATTACACGAGTTATATCTTAGCTCAAGAATTATCTAAACTGAATTGCCATCTTACCGGAACAATTTTGACAAACAGGAAAGAATTGCCCAAAGAAATCAAAAAGCCTGATTTTTCGAAAAAATCTACAGTCGCGTATCAACGGGACAAGACGTTACTTTTAGGATGGAAAGACAAGAGGGTTGTCACCTGTTTAACTACGAGGGGAGATACAGGGATGACTACGGTCAGAAGAATTACTCGAGGTGGTGTCGATATCATGGTGAAGAAACCCAATGTGGTATTGAATTATATAAAATATATGGGTGGTGTTGATCGGGCGGACCAATATGCGTCAACATATTGTTTTTTGCGAAAATCGCTCAAATGGTGGCGTAAACTTTTTTTTTGGGGCATGGAAATTTGCCTCATCAATTCGTACATTTTGTACAAAGAAGAAAAGATCGCGAAAGGGGAAAAGCCGCTGAGCCATCTGCGTTATGTCAAAACACTCGTGGAACAGTTGAGAGGACCGTATCGCCAGAAACGGGAGCAAGCATCGACGTCACATTCGGATGAAATCCGACTTAACGGGAAGCTCCACGTAATGCTAAAAGGACCAAAGAGGGACTGCAAAGTCTGTTCTGATCGCAGCACGCCTGGAGGTAGGCGAGAAATCACGTACTATTGCGATACGTGTCCTGACAAACCAAGAATGCATCTAGGACATTGTTTTGTAAAATATCATACTAAAACTAATTACAAAGTATAATGTGTAATAAAATTTGTTGCCTTCAACATATAAATATATAAACTGGTGAAATTTTGTTATTTGTATACGTTTATTTACTTATAAATGTCTTTAAAGCATTTGTAAAGTGTTCCCCGAATTTGGCCGAAACCGTCTCGAGTTGCTGGTTAGCGCAAGCGAAAAAGGCCTCGAGTGCAAAGGGTTAAAAGAAAAAATAAAATTTATTGAAATATCTTTTTAGAATAGCATTTTAGAAAAAACGTATCAAACAAAAGTTGTAGGATTCAGAAGGAGACATTCAATGATAATCTTGTCTTTGTCACAGATGTTTTTCTTCAAGGTCATTTAAAGGTCAACTTTTGTTTTTCAAATGGAATATTCTATTTTTGATACCGGAAATTGATAGAGTAAATTTTACGTTAAAAACATGTTATAACATATACGATCAATTGACCCCAAAGAATCATTTCAAGGTCAAAAAAATTTCTACTCCGGAAATGAATAAAGCATATCAATCTCACGTTCAGGTATGCTTTGTCATGAGGTCAAATTGACTGAAGAGATCATTTCATGGTCAACTTAATTTTTTCTTAATGGAAATTGTGAGTTTTCTTGACTCTCATGATCTGAGGATTAAATTGCTAGTCCTCTTGCAATTATGCCTAGACAATAATGGGCAAATATTTGAACATTTACTTATATAATAAAAGAACATCCTTAAATTGTGAGAGGCAAAAAAACTTATGCTAAACAAACACCCCAGATCGTTGAAATTAATTTGATCTCACATGTTGCTACATGTTTTTAACGTAAACATTTACTCTTCTATCAATTTCCGATATCAAAAATAAAATATTCTATTTGAAAAACAAAAGTTGATCTTCAAATAATTTTGAAAAAAGACATCTGTGACAAAGACGAGATTATCATCGGATGTTCCTCCTTACAACTTTTGTTTAAAATGTTTTTCTTTAAAACGCTTTCTTAAAAGATATTTCAAAGAGTCTTTTAAAATGAGACATCCTGCAAATAATTATAAATAATTTCTTGCCAATCAGTAAAATAATGCTTTTTTAAGTTTATATAAATATATATTAAATATATGTAAGTTTTTATTATATACATATATGTAACATATATAAATAAATAATAAAAATTTATAAAGGCATATCTAAGTGCATGCAAAGACATATGTATATACATAGTTTTTTAATGAGTATTGTAGAAATTAGAGTCCAAATCTAAATCTTGTATAAAACAGAAAATCGAATTAATATCTTACTTGTACTGTTACTGCAGTCATGATAATAACAAAAAAAAATTCTCTCTAATATTAGCTTTGTTTTTGTAATAAAAAGTATGTCTATGATATATCTGTCTATAATATGCACAGCAATATACATATGTTGAGTAAAGGTGCCTATTATGAGATACCATTTTTAAAGGCTTGTAATTTATTAAATATGTAATCTTACCTCTTAATTTTATGTCAAACTTATGGGAGCTGTATTCAAGTTTTACTGCCAAAAGTTAGCAATCAATAATAGCTATTTTTTTATTTTTTATCAAAAGTATCTATTTTGCTGATTCAAAAAAAAGGATTCCTAATATGAGACACAAGAGGTTTTTTTCCCCTATAGAAATCTGAACTACAACAGAACTATCGTCATTCTTAACATATCACTCAATAATACGCTTTGGGACATTGAATTGTTTAGATGCTTTTGAATATCTCATTTCTTTGCTTCTTACTGCCTTAACAGTCTCTAATTGACTGTGAGACTACAATTGCCTCTTCTTTGCTTCCATCTAAAAATATGATTACTAAAAACTTACTAATATATCAAATAAAGAACGTGACAGAATAAAGAACTTTACTAGTTCCTAATGTAAAATATCTCATATTAAGAACGGCTGCATGTATCTTATTAAGGATAATATAAAATTGTAGAAAGTTTATGTTATATATATATATAAAGTAAAGCAATAAATTGACAAAACTATATGATAAATCTCTTATAATGCATGTGTACATTTGAGTGAATTGAAATGACAGTAAAGCTTATGACATAAGAATGTTAAATGCATATTTTAAAGTTATATACTGAATATTTTTCTTCTCTGCGCTTACGCGACAACTCTCTCGCAGACACCACGTCGCCTTTGACAGTGAGCGACACTAACAAAGTTTGATGTTTTTGTGTAAGCGATGTGTTAAAAATAAGCAGTTATGAATTTGTAGCCGTTTACATGAAATAGCTCGCTATCTCGTATTAGGCGACTATCTCATAATAGATATCTTTATCCTACAAGATTCTTAAACCACTAATAATATTTTATATGGAAGTAACTTTTTTAAGGAAAAAGAACTAGTAATACACAAGATACAACAAACAAGATATAACATTGTAACAAATGCATTTTGCCTTCAGAGTCTCCACTTGTTCACTATCAGTGTCAGTACATACATTTTTTGAATTTTTTTTTAAAGTGATCTCCAGAACTATAAAGCATATTTTATACATATACAAATGTCCCATATATAATTTATTAACATGTTTTTTAAGCATCTTGTGTGTGTATAATACACACACACACACACACACACAAATATATACATACTGATAGCATTTTTTAATCAATACAAAGATTCTACACATTCCATGTCTTTAAAACTTCAAAAATAATTACTTGAATGTAGTTACCTTAATCTATTTTTGTACAACCGATGTCTCCCTCTTCCTTCAGACTCTTTATAGTCAGTTTCCGTATCGCTGCTACTATCTTGCACATAATTGATGCGCTCTGATGGATTTGACATGTCAAACCACCTGTCAAAAACAGGAAATGTATCTACATATGTAATCAGCTTTTCAAATTGTTTGAAACAAGTGTTTCACACTGTTTTGCAGCATAAACCACATAAAAGTATGCATATTATATGTAATTTATTAAAAGAAAACTGGAAAGAAGTTTTTAAATATTGCACATTTTTATTTTAACACAATGAGACTTATAATATACACATGTAGCTCTATGTAGTTTATAGTAATTTTATATTAAGATTGTCTAAACTTCATTTTAAGATCAAACAGAATAGTGGAGCAAATATGCAAGCTAAAGCATAAGATGTACATGTATAATTTGTTGAAAAAAACAACTATATATAAATTTTCAATCTTTTTATTTCGATTTTCTTACTTCTCAGGAGCTTATTCAATTGTTTATTTTAAGGTGCTATTTGCATTATCTGATTGGTTTCAGTTTTATCACATAAAGATAAGTTTTAGATCTTAAGAAAAAAAAGATCCATCTATATAATCAATATTTATAAACTGACTTTATATTTCAAATCATCTTAAGTATATCTCAAAATACTATGTAAAAATGTTTTATTAGCTACAGAACACAACAAGTTAACTTTAAAATACTATTAAAATTAATTAATCACTTTAAGATAATATTAAAAGTGGATTATACACATATATATGAATACCAGCTTATAAACATTTTGAAGTATATTCTAACCTTAAGAAACGCTAGCTTTTTGACAGATCTATATTTTTTTATCTATATATTTTATCTATACTATTAAAGATCTATACTACTAAACATTTTATTCTTATATTATTTTTATAGTTTAATTAAAATAAAAACAAATATATCAAACTTTAAATTCATGAGAAAACAGTTTAAACATGTATATGCATATGTATATATGTATGTATGTATGTATATATATTATATATATTATATATATATACACACATATATATATGTATATATATATGGATACATAACAGTACATACAATGTTTTTAAACGTAAAAACATGGTTTTGGCTGTTAAACCGAAAGAAAGACTTATACGCCCATACTACTAATGTAGATTGCAGAAAATATAGTAAAAGATACTTCATCTATAAAACATGGTTTTAATCACCATTTTTTATTGCTTTCATCTTTTTCTCAATTTATCTCTTATAGTTAGTTTCTGGTTTAATGACTGTCTTGGCATAGCATTAATGTTAATGATATGAAGTATCATATACTTACGAAGTTGAAACTGACAAAAACCAGCCGAATCTCTTCAAAATTTTTTTCGTAATTTTACAAATCTCCAGATCGTACAAATCAGCACAAATGTATTTGATTATAACATTTCGACCGTACTAGGCGTACAGAATATAATGGTAAAGAGAAGTCTTTCTTCTGATAATGGCGCGTACAGGACTACGTTCTAAAACCCTACTCGTTGGTTTGGTTTAGTGCTCATGGCTCAGTACTCAGTAGACCAGTAACAGTAGACCTGTTAAGCTAGTCCATACGCTATTGAGAAAGAGAAAGAGAGAAAGAGTGAGAAAGAGTATAGGTGCGTTCAGACAACTCAACAGTTGCACAACGGTTGAGAGATAATCACTTCTGATTGGATCATACTTTTGGAACTGTGGCAGATTTTGAAGAATAGTCCTATCATAAGTGATGATCTCTCAACCGTTGAGTTGTCTGAACGCACCCATTAGCACGTGACTTTTTTTGTCGCTCGAACGATCAGTTTCAGCGGCACGTGAAAATGCACCTTTATGGGCCTGGCCGCTCTCGTCTGATATTAATGACATAAAATGTTTTGAATGACAAATTTTGCTACAAATGTGTAGCGTCACAAGAAATATATATATATATAATTATCAAATTTGCTATGTAATTTATAATCGAATTCAAAATGAAAATGTAGATTTAAAAAATCTTAAAATTGTCACAAGCATGTGATTTTAACAACTGTCGATATTTACTAGACCTAACACACACACATGCATTATGAGCAAGTATAAAATCTATGATGATAAAGTGACGAAAAAGGAGAAGTCCCGATCAACAGTTTTATTGAAAACACATAGCAGATGTGAGAGCTAAATTAACGTGCGACTCAAGGAAGAAAGAATTTTTAAGATACTTGTATATTTTTATTCACATCTAGTGGAATATAATTAACCACACTCTCCCATAATATTTAAGCGAATATCGCTTTTATACGTTTGTATCTCAGCAACCGAAAACATGTCGAATAAATTCGAGACGTAAGTGAAAGTGTTCTCCTTTATCTCATCGTGTGTTTCTCTCCACGGGCGAGGTTTTTGAGGTTAGACATGTTTGAATACACAGTAAAATTTACGGTAGTTCGGATTCCACTTGTAGGTTCTGTGAAACTGAAACACTGAGACTTGAATCTTAAACTTAAAACATGATAATACTTAAAACATAGATAATTGCAGAATGGCATATGGGCAGATTGTTAGAGCCACTCACTACATAGTAAAATTTTATATACGAAGACACGTATTCATATTGTCACGTAGCAATCGTTTAATTATGATAATTGCTCAATTATTTTTATCGCTATAGCAACTCAATAAACAGTTTAACTTTAATTTCACAACAAAATATAGGTAATGTAAGTCAGATTTATCTGCACACAATAGTTTACTATATTATTTATACTTATATTTTTCTTTAATTTATCTTTTAATTGAACAAAATCATTAACTTTGGTAATGATAAACAGAGATAATATAATAGAGTTGTGGATATAAATTTCAACAATGAATATTTCAATTATAATTTTGAAATAATTTAAACTTATACAAAGAAAACAAGCATAATAACATATTAGATAAATTCTATAAACTAACAAGCCTTTTACTTTCTACTTATCATATGGTGTAGTATTTTAGGAGATATAAATATATATAAACATATATACACACACATTTATATATATATATATATATTATTTTAGTACTTACAGGTTAAGAGCTACTGAGGATAGTGGAGATGAAGAGTCTCAATCAAAAGATAATCAAAAAAATGAGAAGGATTTATTAGTAAGTAAAATATAATATATTCTTGTAAAATGAAGATATATAAAAATATTGATAAAATGGTTAACATGTAATATATTTACTTATAGCCTCCAATAGAAATCAGTCCAAACGAACACAAGCTGCAATATGCTTATGCACTTTGGTATAGTCGACGTAGTCCTGGTAAACAAACTAGTATACAAAGTTATGACCAAAATTTAAAATTGGTTGGTAGATTTGCTAGTGTGGAACAGTTCTGGGGTCTTTATAGTCATTTAGTACGACCTTCAGAACTTACGACACACACAGATTTTCACCTTTTCAAAGTTGGTATAAAACCAATGTGGGAAGTAAGTATGTGTATTGTATAATTTATATTCAATATTGTATCATGTCAAACAGATATTGTTGACAGTATAAAGGAAATGTCTTGATTTAATGTTGAAAAATTTATTGTATATATAGGATGAAGCTAATCAAAAAGGTGGTAAATGGATAGTGAGATTACGGAAAGGTTTAGTGTCTAGATGTTGGGAAAATCTTATATTGGCAATGTTAGGAGAGCAGTTTATGGTAGGCGAGGAAATATGTGGTGCTGTTGTATCTATAAGATTTCAGGTACTTTTAACATTTAGATAAAAATAAAGCTTTTTCTTATTTATTTTTATATAAATTTGATAAATTTTTTTAACAGGAGGATATAATATGTGTGTGGAATAAAACAGCATCTGATGTAGCAACAACAGCACGTATCAGAGATACATTAAGGAGAGTATTACATCTTCCAACTAGTGCCTCTATGGAGTACAAAACTCACAATGAAAGTTTGAAGAATGTACACCGTCTCTAAAGTTGAGTTATGAAAACAAAAAAAATTAAACATCTTTTGACTGAGTTTTAAAGGTACAACTTATATAATTCCATAACAGATTCCAGATCTCTGTTTTCTTTTGTGTATCTAATATCATATTATGATATTTGATAATACAACAATTATATATACCTATTTATATCTCCAAAATAACACATTTTCTGACCGAAAATAAATATACAAAAAATAAAGGACGGAAGAAAATATTAATTTGACGATACTATTGACACAAGTGTTTATGTTATAACTATGTAAATATAATAAATATACATTAATAATAAAAATATCTTTATTTGCTAGATAATGGATCATAAGAAATTCTCTTGTTGCTAATTATTTTATTTTTTTAACTTTTTCGGAAACATCTAGAACAATTTCACTTTTATATATTTTATAGTTTTTATATAAAAGTCAAGTATAGATACAAATTGGTTCTGTGAGTGAGTACATTGCAATTATCAATAATTTAATCTTAATATTCTTTAAGTTTATTTTGGATTAATTTTATTATTATATCGTTATAGAAGATAAAAAACACTGTTTTATATTTGAAGATGTTTTTCGGGTTTGAACCGCGTTAGTGTCATTTTTATACCGACGTTTCGTGAACATTTCAGCTCACTTCATCAGGATTTCAAGAGCAACTTGATACTGAGATGCTCTTGGACAGGTGTCCCTTTTTGTAGTCCCAGATTAGGTAGAAAGAGGTGTAGTGCAGAACTTTGTTTTATAGTTGAACAAAGATAAATTTTAATATTTGAAATTTAATCCGATTTTATACACAAGGAAGTTTATTTAGCTACACGTGAGATCATATCTGTTATCTATTTAAAGAGAAAACTTACAATATTATTAATATGAATAGAAAAATATATCACAATCATTCTGCATATATGTAGAATATAAAGACTGTTAAGAGTGCCAATTAATGAGTCTATAAGCGTGTGAAATGGATTTTGCAGGCGTATATAAAATCATGTAATTTTCAGTTGTAAACAAAAAAGTTTTTAGTCTTCTAGCAATAAGAAGCGGAATAATACGAGCACCATATGATACAGCTTTTTAGTATCAATCTCATGGCAGTATAACGCAGCAGAATCCAGTCCATCTTTTCCCGCGCTTATTGGCTTACATTGAATAATTAATATTTTAATAATTTTTAACGAATTTTGCAAAATTGTGACTTCTGTTCAAAAATCATACATAATTCGGCTTTTTATATAAAAGTTTCAGACACCTTGTACATAATATAAAATATATAAATAATTATAAATATATATATAATATATATAAACAACATATATATTGTACTATATTGTAATATATTGTAATATATATTATATATATAATTATTATATATAAATATATATTTATATATTATACAATTATAATAATTACATATACTAACTGCCAATATCTTGATTAATATAGAAATAATTGATTATTATATAGACTAGAATCGCATGTATTTCTTAAGAAAAAAGTAGTCTTTATATGCACGTATATCAATTTTGCTTATGTGTAAAAAATTCCTTTTGTTATGTACATGTAAAACGCTGAGAACTATAATCCTAAAACTATATTTGCAACCATACCTGCAACAAAAAAAGATCTGTTTTATCATCATGTTTTATCAACACACACATGCATGTATATATAAAGTTCGGTATATACCTAGTACAAATGCGAATATTAATTTAAAATTCACGGAAAGGTGGAGATAATCAGGCACTCTATGATTCTGTTCTCCTTCGGTGGGTAGTAACAATCCAATTATGCATGTAATTCCCGTAATGAGTGCTACATAATTCGTATTTCCTAAAATGTGATATAACTTATATCTTTAATATTACTAGTCGATTCAACTTTTGCTATAAACTAAAATATGTAACTATAAATATAATCAAATAAAATTTTATTTTAGAAACAATTTAAAAATTTTTCAAGTTCAGTTTTAAGATAATATAAATATACGAGGAACAACTGATAAATATCCGAACAAAAAATAACAATTTATCGAATTAAAATGTACTTATTTTTTTAATAATAGCCTTCTACTTTGATATGCTTTAATCACATTTGTCGAGAGCACCTATATACCTTTAGTAGAATAATTGTTCAAACTCTTGTAAATAGTAATATTTACAATATCGATATTTTTATTGTTTGAAAATTTCTGTCAAGCCATTCGAAATATAAATGAAAATTGCACAAGGTTATATCTGGCGAATAAGACGGATGAAACAGTAATTCAAAGTTTAACTGAACAGTTAAAGTGAGCTTCGTATGTTTACTTTTAAAAATCACTGAAAGCATCTATTTTTGCGAGCTAGTATACAACGATGTGTGATAATAGACCAGTTTGACATTAGTCTTTCTAAAAGATAAAATTTGCTAATAATAATACTCTATTGTGATATTACTATCGCTATCTATGCATCGTTTCGAATACTTATCAATTCTTCTTTGTACATACATATACTTACTCTCTGTGATTTTATCCCGTGTTATAAGAGTGTAAGATTGTTGCTGTCTGCTTTCATTTAATGGTAATTGTTGAAACATATCTGGATCCGGTGTTGATCTTCCAACTGCGTCCGATGTTCCAGGGAGAAGTTTAGCTTCAACATCTCGCTTGCCAATTATCTGTGTAATTTGTAAAATAAACAATTTTTCCACAATCAAAATAAAAAAAATTAAGAAAAGTTAAATATTAGATTAAACTAAATAAAAACATAACTTGGATAAATCTTACTTGGATAAATCTTACTTGGATCCAACTATATCTTTATTGTTCAATTTGAAAATCTTTAATTTTTTATAGTTTTGTAATTATTACCTGTTTAGAAGGATATTCTTGCATTTGTATCCTGAATTTGTCAGTTACATTGCAGTTATTTGCTATCAATGCTGTATGCCTGATCACAATGTCTACACAAGATATAGCTTTTATTATTCCTTCTGGATCAACAACTTGATACTTATTTGGAGCAGTACATAAAACTGAAATATCAAAATTACATACACAGAGAGATTAAAGATTAAACAAAAATGTAGATAAATATGAAAACTATGAGATACCTTTGAATTTTACAGGAAAATCATATGGATTGTACAAAGTTAACACTTGCTTGTGACTAGACTGATCATCTAGATAAAATGTAATAGTTTGTGGAAACACAAAAATTGGTAATTTTTGAGGCATAGTTATTGGTGGCATTCTTTAATTTTAAGTCATCCATGCATCTATAAAAAGTTTTATCAAATTTATTATATATTTTCATTATTGCAGCAAATGTTTTTATGAAAATAATTTTGTATGTACACATATATATCCTATCATACACATATATCCTATATATTATAGTTTGTAATATTAGAAATTTGTGATATAAATTTTATATCACCAATGATACATAACAAGCAATATGCACCAGCAAATTATGCACTTTTATAAACTAATAATAAATTTAGTTTAAAAATTTATGCACATTAAGCACATATATCTTAACTTATATATATATATATATATGTATACACACACAGGGGGAGGAAGGGAGAGAGAGAGAGAGCTACATGCAACATAAATAAATTTAGATACTTGCATATAAAAATTATTTTGATTAGACTTTGGCCACTAAATGAGTAATAACTGTGGTATAGTAATAGTAATGAATGAGTGAGTATATGTATGTATACTTACTGAAAATTTATAAAATATTTACAATTACATTTCTCTTAACTCATTATTACAATCACCGCTGGTACCAAGAACTTTATCTCATTAGATATGCATTCATATATGTGCAAGTATATAAAATGGTTCAAGACAAATTTCATACGGTTTTGCGCAAATGCTGCATTATTATTTTTTGTAATGTTAGAACTATAACATTTGAGGTTGTGTGTGTATTACACCACTACTGATAGAAACTGACACACGAGCGGATGATTGGAACTCGCAAATCACAAAAATGTCAAGTCAAGACAAAAAATAAACGAAATAATGCACGTTATTAACAATTAGTTAATAAAAAAAATCCAAATGATTTTTTTCAGATTAGCTCTCTCGGTCCCAATCTTAATAAAATTGCTCATTTGACACGTAAAGCAAAATTAACAAAGCCAGTTATTAAGCATTAAGGTGGCGTTGAGGTTAAGAAATCTGTCAATGAAGTTTATAGGCTGCGTTCCGATATTCACTGTCAATACTAAAAATCTATACTTCACGTCACATGTGCTATAATTTATTAGTACTAGGAGTATGTTCCAAAATTTTATCCTAGTTACTAAATCACTATAGGTTTGTTTTTTTCCCTGAATTGATTGCACTAGTTCACAGTCTATCTTTTTCTTTCTAATATAGATAAAAAAAGATAGACCGTGAACTAATGCAGCCAGTTCAGGGAAAAAAAAAACAAACGTTATATTTCACGTCAAACCTTATATGCACTATAATTTTTGGTTTCCAAAATAGGATTTTGGAACGTAACCTAGAAGTGAATATCGAAACGCAGCCATAAGTTGCGGTCAAAGTCTCACTGCAAATGTTTCGAAACATTATTCTATCTTTGTTCTACATTTAACGAGAAAAGATAGAATGACGTTTCGAAACGTTTGCAGTGAGTCTTTGACCGCACCCATAGGCTCCACGTCGTGGAGCACGCTATTTATGTTATTGTAAACAAAAAGGCTTTATACTGTACATAGGCTCTGAAAATATTATCTTAATTATTTTAATCACTTCATCAATTGAATGTGCATGAGAATTTTCTTAAAGCGTAGTAACGTGTTCTTTTTGCACAAATTCCGTTATGATTATGACGCTCAAACGTAATCAAGTTTGAACTTCTTCGAAATTGCTTCGAAATTTTTTGCTTCATGAAAAGGCGCCCGAAGAATCACCGAGCCACATCAAACTTGATACGGAAACGAAAAGACGGGATAGCACAATAAAAGTAAAAACTAATTTTGTAGTATAGACGATAAACGTTGTGTCGTAAACAGTGTTGAATTTGTCATTTTCAAAGATTTAGACTTGAGATTTAAAAAATGGTAGAAGAAATCCGAGTTATGGTATAGTATTACATGTATTACGTTATAGTTTTAGTTTAGTCTTAGATATCAAAAGTTTCTTTTACATATTCTGTAGAATATATACTCTGTAGGTGAAGTTTTATATCAACAGAAATTAAGTGCATGTGTAAAATCTAATATATGTACACATATATACATATATTTCTACAAACTAACACACATGTACATGTGTGTGTAATGCTTAACAATACAATAACATATTACTTTTCAAAAAAATCAAAGTATATATGTAGAATATATATATAAAACAATATATTAAATATTTTAAGATAAAATATATAAATTATATATAAATTTTACTGTGTTTATAGTGACTAAATCATATGTTATTTTATTATTAGTAATTATTTATAGAATGCACCAACCATCTTCAATTGTGTTAAATTTAGGTTTATTTTAATTTATCACAATAAAAAGAATCTGTATAAAGAAATGTTAATTTAAAATTTAATTACTCTTTGTGGCAGATTATTGTTTTTTTGAAGATTTGTTTCAATACAATTCAAGACATTTTGTTAATTAAAACTTCATATTAAAAAATGTTAAACAATTTAATATGTTGCATGATATAAATTTGTATGTAAAATGTTCTTTCTTTTTTATTGTTCACCTTAGTGGTGTGATACATTAGAAGAAATCCTACAATGTCCTGTATGCTTAGATGTACCTCAAGGTTTAAAGTATCAATGCATAAATGGACACCACATATGTGATCCATGCAAAACACAACTGATGAGATGTCCTATATGCAAATCAGAGTTTATTTGCACAAGAAACTTGGCAGTAGAACAAATTGCAGCCAAATTGTCAGACATAAAGGTAGAAAAAGTTGTTATCTTTAATAGTTGAAAACTACCAATTATAGTTTATGAAAATGTATATAAAAGAAAATATAACAAGATATAAAACTATGTTTTTAATAATAAGAAATATTCTGCATATATATTTTTCAAAAAACGAGAGTTATTAATAGACTAAACAAAACTGCTTCTATTTTTAGTTGTCATTATTAAATCCATATCATGCACTAAATAGAAAACTTTTACAAGGCAAAGTGTGTGTAGCTACTCAAACTGAAGAAGTTTGTATGTCTTCCACATCTTCTGCATGCCAAACTGATCTTGATAGTCAAGTCAGACATATTAACTTAAAAAGTGAACAACAAAAACCAATCAATTTGAATTTGGCACCTAGAGTAGGAAAAGGACAATATCCATGTCGTATCGGCTCCTGTACAAAGTATCTAGTGCATGGAAGAATTATAGGACATTTGAGATATTATCATAAAGATGTATTTTATGAGGTATTGCTCGTCTGATTTTGTTTATAATTAATGAAACATTTGCGGAAATATTTTGTTATTATATATTGTTATAAATCAATTTCTCATTTCTAAGTTAATTATTTGGATTTATAATTAAAATGTGATTGCAGTTTACCACAAAAGACACAGTATTTAAAAGACAGTGGAGTTTAGAATATATTTCTAATCGGGATTATGATTTTGCTTTTCATATCAAAGAGATGGGTTTATTTTTTTTAAATATCACTATAAATCAGGCAGGTGATCTAATGGCAACTATACAAATTGTCAATTGTAATGATGTGGGCAAGCAATTTTTCTATACGCTTAATGCTGTTGGAACACTTAATGCTTGTTATACTGGTCAGGTAAAATTGTTTACTGTTACATATTTTTATAGGATATGTTAATTTATATAATATTTTTCAAAATAATTTTAAATAAGAAATATCTCATATGTTCCTTTATAAATAATTCCAAAATTGCTAGAAAAAAACTTTGAAGACACTCAGATATGTACGCACACACGCGCGCGCGCGCATGCATGCACATAAAGATACATATATTTTTAAAATTGAACATTGATGTTTGGTAAATTAGTAATTAGTAAATGATAATGATAATTTAATAAATGATAATGATAACTAATTAAAATCCTTATTTTTTTAAACAGGTAAAATCCTGCAGAATGGCAAGGAATTCTTTTAAACAAGGAGAATATCTATATATACGCAAGGATGCAATGCGTCATATAATTGATGGTGAAAACGTCTTTCATTGCAACCTTATTATAAAGCGTAGAATTGCTTACAAATCGATAAGCATACAAGATAATTCAGTGCCCTTATCTGGAGTTCTTGAAAACATAGCAAATTATAATATGTAATGTGTTAAAAACTAGCGAAAATGCAGTAACTACTACAGTTGGAATGAGTGTTACGTGATATACAACTAAACGGTGCAAGGGCATATGAAGAAACTCGTTCAGAGTTTAGTGATCACATTCATATATCAGGAAGATTGCATATTAAAAGAGTGACTTTGACCAATATCAATTACTTATAACAGGCGCGAACAGAATCATTAATTTTAAAAGTAAAAGTACTTCATATATTATATAACATAATTTTACTTGTAATAACTATATTAACTTTTTTGATCATTTTATAAAAGTGAGACTACTTTATATTCGCTACAGCTATCACTGGTTTTACAGTGAATGCAATATAATCTAATTCACGTGTGCCATGTGTCCAATAAAACTAAGCCTTGCAGTATGACATAAACGCGATTTGATGTAAAATCAATTTTGTTGTTTTATTGTTGAATCAAAAGAAAATCGTCTGATATATTTTATAAGTATGCTCTATCTACTAATTAAAAATAAGTTTGTACGCGGAAGTAGTTTTTTACAAAATTGCAATAATTATATCCCCGTTTTTGATATTAAAATCAAAGATAGCTGTAGAAATATCGAAAAGATTTAAAGATACATAATATATTAGATAGAGGTTTTGTCAGTTACTCGCCAATTAAGTCAATCGAGATTAGTCAAAATTGCTCTATATAATTATTTTATTTTGCAGTAGGGGACTATAAAACTATTGACTTCATTGACTAGTTTTGATGCAATGTTTCTATATGTAAATAATTTAAGTTTCATCTTAATTATTTAATATAAAACGATAAGAGATTTTAAATAAGATTTTATGTCCTTTCATATACATGTCGATAAGTTATATTGTTTTAATTCTCAGTGCAAATTTTGTGAGAAGTAAGTATGCATCTTTCAACCACATGCACGCGCGCGCGCACGTACGCATACTACGCATGTGCAATATTGCCTAACTGATAAATCGAGAATGTCATTTTTATTGTGCAGACAAATTCAATTAGATTTAATTAGAAGAAAGAGGCTTAATACTTATTAAATGTTTTTCATCTTTATATTTAATTTAATTTTTATTTGATAGTTTAAATTGAAAAAAAGGAAAAAAAGAAAACAACACTTAAATATTTTTGCCTGGAACATTTCATATACTGTGTGTGTGTGTGTGTGTGTATATATACATAGGAAATGTTTCTATATACGCATATCCTATATATATTTTTTTCAGTAAATATAATATTAGAGTACTCAATGCAATATGAGAATTTTTTTAAGAGTTTGATTGCGACAAAACGAAGGAATATTTCGTGATGTGTACATATTTTAGTCACAAGGTGTGTACAATTTACATAGTTTACGAAATCAAAAACTTGATAACCACATATTTTTATAATATGAAGTAAAGTCATTATGTTAAAAATTATTTAATGTTTAACCAATGTTTCTTCTTTAACGTTTAACCATTTTGTTATTTAACCTTTAACCAATTAACTTTAGTCTCTATTTAATTTTGATATACAGATTGTTCCTGATTGATTTCGGTATTGCTGAGACAAAACATAATTCGAGACAAAACTTACGAAACAATGCACATTGTCAACGATAGGTGGTTTTTGTACATATTGTCAGTATGTGTGATGTGCATCACACATATATATGTATACTCTGTTCAACAAGAGAATATCATCGATCTGTGCATAGGGGAAGCAAAGCGAGCAAAGTGAGGAGAGCATTGTGCGCGAGACATCCGTTGGCAGCTGCGTTTAGCAGAACTCAGCGCTTAAGCAAGCGCTTTGCGCTTATTGTTTGTGATTGGCACCTTCCTGTAAATCTATTGAAAACATGAAAGCATATGCTAATGACAAACAATAATCACAAAGCGCTGAGTTCTACTGAACGCAACCAATGGCAGCTGCACGAGTAGAACACTGTAAAGTGGAAGGGCTTTCTGATAGGAGGTATGCGCAAAACGGACGAGTTTTCGCTCCAATAATACTCTCGTTGAACAAAGTGTAGTTCATTATAGCCTGTTTAAATATCTCAACATGTGAAATCGCACTCATTTCGCTCGTAACTAGCATCTACATAAATCTTGCGCACTAATTTATATACTAATTCATATGCTAAGAGCTACTGTATCTTGCTCCTCTCTAATATCTGATCTTTGCTCATCTATTTATTTTCGTATATGAATTAAATTGAAGTTGCAGAATCATCAATTTCAATCTGGTGTGCCTTTTGTTTATAAATTAATGCAATGAAATTTGCTCTAAACCTCGCGTGATGTTTATTATATTATTATATATCAAATCTCTCGCAAACTTCTCATCAGATGCAACTAGAAAATAATGAAGTTTTTTTTTATTACATCTCTGTACGCATGTCATAATGCTTTGAAGATGAGAATCTCAGTGGATCTCAGTTCTTTCTATGTATCATTAGAGAATTTAACATAGTTAAATAATCTCTCGAATAGTTTTAATTTTTTGCGCCATCGCGTACATTGTGGTGATTTAAATCGGTATACGCTGAACGCGAAATTACTCTGCTTGTCCTCTTCTTAGTAGACTACATCTCTTCAAGTAGTATCGCCTTCGCGCAGTGATTTCTGCTGCTCCAGAAGTCGTTCTAATGGAGAAGGGCCTGGTCCGGACCACAGAGATTGTTGATGAAGTTGCGCCTTTATTTGAGTTTGATCAGATGAAGTGATCGGTGTATTGACAGTGTGGCTCCATGTATTGCCACTGAACAACGAATAAGTGTTGTCAGTGCTCACAGATTGTAACGGCTTCTGCTCGAGCTATATGAGACATTGAAAATGTAATATTGTATTATATATATTATTATATACATATATATATATATATATGTAATGTATATGTACTATATATACAGTGTCCCAAAAATTTTGACCAAGCCAAAGTGTGAAGATAAATTGTGTCAATCTGAACAGAAAAGTTATGTACCATTTTGCAAAATTCGCAATAGTTATTAAATAGTTAGTTAATAAATGTGAGCCAATAAGCGCGCGGGAAGCGATGGTCTCCGTAAATAATAATAGTTTCATCTTGCAGAACTTTAACCGAAGTCAGAAAGAGTACTTTTTTTCAAGTAAATTCGAGCACTGTTTTAATTATTACATAGTCAAAAGAAACAAAGGACTATCACACATGATGCAATGTACTTAGATTTTTTGTCTATTGTTTCTAAATAAGGTTTCTAAATAATAATCTGATGATCTCATTCTTGGATAGTATCTCCCCTTTTGCCAGTACTCTCTTAAGAAAATCCTAAAGTAGGTCTATTTTATCAATAAAACTGAATCTTTTTTGCACATAAATCTTTTTTGCTGTATGGATTAATAAAGTACATACAATAAAAGATCAAAAAAGCCCAAATTTATGTAACAAAATTTAAAATAATTTCAATTTTTTTCAAAAATTATTACATTTTTCAAAACTTGAAATGTTTTTTATTTTGTTGTATAAATTTGGATTTTCCGGATCCCTTATTGTATGTACTTTAATTGTAGAAAAAAATTTATCAATCTATACAGTTTAAAAAAGATTTGCAAAAAAGATTCAGTTCTATATATTGATAAAACAGACCCATTTTAGGATCCTCTTAAGAGAATGCTGAACCGTCTTGTTTTACCGGCACTTTTCTGTGCATAACTTACTTTGTAATCATTAATCGGAATGAAAAAGGCTTCTCCAGAATAAAAAAGAATATGGCTAAAATATGGCCCGAACAAAAATCAACAAGAAAAACAAAAAAAAAAAGGTTACGGACTGTTATATAAACTGTACTAAGGTTTTATTATAAAAACATAGGTGAATTGTTAAAGTAACAATAATACTCACTTCAAACAATCTGGAATTCTCGAAGTTATTTTCCGGCATAAGATGTTTACCATGTTGCCCATTTTGCTGTAGCTGTTGATAATTTTTACCCGGTGTCAGTGACATTCTATTTGCAATATTTCCTAGATTGAACAAATCGCTCCAGTTTGAGAATGTATTGGAATCACTAGCGATTGAATCTTTCATATGCACTTGAGTCGTAGCAGTATTACTGACTGAACCCCACCATGTAATTGGCGGTTGGGGCGGTCGATTGTCTTTCCACAAATTAAAATGCTCAGTTAATTCATAATTGCCGAACATATACTTATTTGCCGACGTCTGTTGTTGCAGTTTCTGAACCTTCGCCACATCGGTTTGATTTGGAAATGGAAAGTCAACCACATCAGAGTCTTTATAGTATGATTGCGATAACTGATTGGACAATGGTTGACCAAATGCTTGAGTATGATCGAAGTTAAGCTGAAAATTTGTGCTCGTCGGAATTTGCGTGTTTGCCGGCAGTGACGGCAAAGTCTGCTTCTGAGAATCCTTTTCATACAGTGTTGACATAATTGCTGACATGTTTGTCGAGTTGTCGATATTTAACTGATTAGACATGCCGTTCGGTCTGGGATTGCTCTGTAACGCGTTATGTTGAAAATCTATTGCGCAATTTTTTTGCTCCATGTTTATGGCCGGCTGCAGTCCCATGTTGGTCGTTTGCAAGTTCATATTTTGTTGAGCAGCAGATTCTACTCGCATAGGTTGCTGCAGCAACTGCGCGGGACTATGAGACACGTTCTGCGATATCCTATGATGCAACGGTCTGCTTTGACTAATCGTATGCGTAATCCCATTTAAGGACTGCGGTATCGCTGAAACTAAGTGGCCGTTGTTCAGCTGTTCCTGAATTTGATAACGCGACATATTTGTTGATTGAGGTCGATTTGCCATGAAATTTTTTGCAAACTGCGGATTCTGTACGTTAAACGATGACTGATTCGTATAGCATATCGGTCTTAATGTCGAAACCTGTTGATCGCACTGTGTCATATTAACGTGCATCTGTGGTAGTATTTGCTGGATGACTTGCTGTTCTTTACTTGTCAACTGATTCACTTGAGCGGGAACAGAAACGTTGAGCGGCAATTTTGTGTGTCTTTGGATTGGCTGGTTTTGAACCGATGGGTTTCGGTTAAGAGGAGCAAGCGGCATTATTACCTGTCGATTTTGAACGTGCGTATTATTCATACTAAGAGTTTCACTAGGTATAGTCATCTCCGAAATTGACATTTTTGGCTTATTTGTGATAGAAGTGGTAATCAAAGGAACGGTTACATTAGCCTTTTTGTTTTCATTCTCTTCTTCAACAATCACAGGTGACACATTTTTAAACGTCACTTGCTTCTGCTCCGTCTCCGCGCGACGCATAATCGCCTGCATCGCTATATTTTGCCGCGGTTTTTTCGCGAAAGAACTTACTTCGATGCCGCTTGCTTCTGCAATGTTCGTTAAAGAATCACGATTTCGTTCTAACGAGCCTTGCGGTTTCAGAATGCCTTGAAAAATTTTCTTGTCTGCAAGCATCTCGATATCAATTTCCAAAGATCCTTTGCTGCTAGCAGTTTCGGACAATGTCGGACTCATTGACATATTCGATTGTTTCTCTTTGTTCAAACTAAGTTCTTCAAGTTCTTTCATCAGTTCATTACTGAGACCACCACCGTTACTCATAGATATAAATCTTTTATTGCCAGTTTCCTCTTGCATTATAATCGATATTGGTGCTGATCCATTGATCTGATACTGAGCGAGACAACAGCCCAAATGCAAAATACGTACAGCCCGTAACTTATTTAACGTTATGATGTCACTTTCAAGAGCAGTATTTGTAAATCTGAGATTTCCAAAACTTTTTTCCAACGGCAAAAAACCTTGAAGATCACGGTCCTCTGGCAATGGCACTGCAACATCTGTTTCCATCATATTAATTATCTTGCTTTTTTTTATCTTAATATGCAATGTATACTCTATTCTTATTTAGTGCAATTATTTAATTATTTCTTTTTTATATAAAAAATCTGACTTTTATATATATATATATATATATAATACAATTTTATTTACACGCGCATATACACGCTCACACGCACTACATTTTCAACTTACTAATTGTTGAAAAATATGTATACAAAAAAAAAAACTTACAACACAGTTTTTATTTAATAATTCTAAACTTACATTCCTCATGTTTGAAATCCACCACACAATTCTGTAGAGCATTTAACAGTACACAAAGGCTGGGCCAGATCTGTAATCTTGATGTAAAAGCTATTTCTTCCAAAACCATGGGTTTTATACTGATCCAATCAAGGCACAGTTTTACTATAACAAAAAAGTCCTATATGTCAATTTTTCTATCATTAAAATAATGAAAAACAAAATACTTACTTGAAGGCAAGGCAAAGTATTCAATAATAGAATTTTTTATTGTATAAACAGGTAATAGCAAGGCAGATAGAGTGCCTGCAATTAGATCTAGAATGCAGTCGCGAGCAAGTTTTTCATCGTTAGTTAATTGCTCATTTTTTAGTAATTCTGTACTATCAGTAGTAATTCCAGCTGCGTGTTGGAAAGCATACAGATTGATCACAAGCATCTGTATGAGCATCCATGAGCTGAAACTTTCAGTGGCTATCAGTGCAGTTAATGTTTCTGTCAGCTGCTTGCTATATGAGCATGCAACTTTCAAATCGCCAAAATTATGAATGATTCCATGTAGCTTGAGAAAGACTGCAATGTATTCTTGAGAAGTCAATTTGGTCTTTCCATCTATATTGAAAGACTTGTCATTCAAGGCAGAGGACAAAGTTGTGGCAAGATTTGCCATAGCAACTGGAAATGGATGTTTAACAGCTACTGAACGTGCATAATGAAATACAGTGCCCAATTTATCACCACGAGATGCCTCGAGAAGTGCCAGCTGATTGTATGGCTGTCCGCTGGATGGCGATAATGAGACAGCATGTCTATAAAACATCTCAGCTTGTTTGCTTTCATTTCTATATCGTGCAATATCACCCAAATGTACAAGGCAATATTGGCAAGCATAAAAACAAGATGATCTGTGTGGTGGAGATAATTTTTCAACAGCTTTCCATGATGATGTACATCCATATACATAACCTTTCCTGCAAAAGATGATTACATTGTCAACAATTTATCTCAAAACCAAACTTTTAAAACATATGCTGCATCAAAAAATTTACAAATAACCTTCTAAATGGTAAATCCAAATCAAATACAGTACAAATTTCCTGCAACAGTGTCAAGTAAAATCCACTAGCTGCTTCTAAACACATACTGAGCAATGCCTGAGACTCAATACGTTTAGGATTTTTTTTATCTTTAACTTGTGACTGTAGAGTTGCTATATAATTCTTAAATCCAAGATTCCACAGCTCCTGCTCAACCTTTCTATCCAAGGCATATTCCAGATCCAGTATTAGAACTTGCTGATATATCTTTTGTAACTGTTGTTGACATATCCAGGCATCATAGTCATTTAACAAGTCCTTACAACGTTGAACCTTGTCTTTTAACGGTTCTGCTTTCCTATCAACAATTACATTCTACACATTAATAAAATAAGAAGCAAAAAATATTTTGGTTTTTTCTTTACAATTGTGTGTGTGCATCTGTTAAGCTTACTTTAAAGCCTGAATGGCTGCTTTTAGGCCCATATTTTATATTTTCTGTAGTCAAATAAGACTTCTTTCACCTAAAACATTTATCTTGTTATTATTAAATGTTTTTGAAGGACAAAAAGCAAATTTTAATCCTAGAGCGCGCGAGACCATGTAATTTTTTTCTTAACCTCAGATTGAATACACGTTATTTTATTAGTTGACTATAATTGCGTAACGATTTAAAATTATGTCTATAACATGTACAGAAAGCAGGCGAACGTACACTTCATCTTTATATACTTTCTTTTAACTGACTGCGCAATTTAATCAGAGAATATATCACGATACAACTACTCATATCTGATAGAAAGAATTGTATGCCTACGCCATTTTTTTCATGTGTACAAAGTCACAGATTTCTATAGGTTTGTTCTTCTTGCTTGCACGAAAAGTGTAAAGTGTACACCTTACACTTTTAATACAATCCATTTTTTGGGAGTGACGGAAACGTCGTGTAATGGCTAGTCTACAATGAAGGGGTACGTTCCAAAATCCTATCTTGGTTACTAAAATGCTATATTTTACGTCACGTGTTCTATAGTTTTCAGTTACCAAAGTAAGATTTTGGAACGTACCCAAAGTAGTAAGGCTGTAGGAATAGAGAATAAGACCTGGTTTAAAGAGCCGTCTACAATGGAGAGTTGTAGGCCGTAATAGTAAGAAATTGACCAATCACAGCCAAAGTACAGAAGAATAATCAATTGTGATTTGTCAATTTCTTACTGTTACGGCCTACAACTCTCCATTGTAGACGACCCTTTATGCGCTAGCATAGGATTCACGCACTCTAGTCTTTATATCTCTATGGTTCTACATGGTCAGGAAACATCAGTGAATTATGATGGCGTATGGACTAGCTTAGTTCGGTCCTTTGAGCCATATATTCACCATTAGTGGATTTAATTATAATTACGTTTTAATTGTGTATTATGATATGAACAATGAGAACATAATTAGTTGTCGTTGCAATGACTGCCAATTATTATTTTGTTATTGTTGGCCACGCTGACAATCCATTATTTGAAATAGAATTTAACAATGCTGGAAAAGATACAAAGGTTAGTTTGTGTAGTTAAGGTCAGATTCATAAATTTTGCAAGTTCTTTGCAATTCTTTTACCTTGATATCTAATAATATTTGTGTTTTTCTTTAGAAAGATGATCATTCGCATTTAAATCAATTTATTGCTCATGCAGCACTCGATCTTGTAGATGAACATACATGGAAGACAACAAACATGCATTTAAAAGTTGTGGATAAATTTAACCAATGGTTTGTCAGTGCATTTGTCACAGCAACTCATATACGATTTGTTATGGTACATGACAGCAAAAACGAAGATGGAATTAAAAATTTTTTTAATGAAATGTATGAAACATATATAAAGGTATACTTAATAGTATCTTAATAGTTCTAAATATTTCATAAATTTTTTTAGAGTTTTTATTTACTGACACATCTATTACTGTTTATATTTTATATTTGTTTATAAACACAATCTTTATTTTCCTAATTTATATATGTATACATAGACATTTATATTATATTAGACCACTAAACACTATAATGTAACATGTTAAAAGGTAAAAGAAACATTGTCATTTCTACTTCGAGATCTCTTACAAATATAGCAGAATAAACATGTTAATAACAAGTGGTAAAGATATATAAGGTTAAATATAATACTTAAATATTAGTATTTATATTTCTATTAAAGTAAAAATGCTAAAACAATATGATGTGAGATGCAAAATCTACCAAAAACTTGGAATTGTAATTTAGATGTTTTGATAAAATTGTCATTGAGAATTTGCTAATGTTTACTAACTTTTTCAACTAGAAAATTTTTTATTTTTTATTAAGTTTTGAATAGATATATTTATTTTTCATCAAGCTGTACTAACTGTAAGCAACTTATAAGTTTCACAGTACTAAGTTTAGCACTGTGAGACAGAGAGTTAGCATTGCTATGTAGACCCATGTACACAAAGAAAGAAAGAGAGAGAGAGCATGTGTGTGGGTGTACTTGTGCATTAGAGTACTCTGCAGTTTGTTCCTAACTTGTACTTTGTTGACTCTTTTCTTACACATTATATGTATTATAACATATTATATAACATTAGTGGTCTAGCATAATATGAAAGTATATATGACAAACACATTTACAAATATATGTATATATGTAATAGTTTTATCAAAAAGATGTGTGTATACTAAAATTTTTGTTTAATTTTCAGTATTCGATGAATCCATTTTACAAGTTGAACACTCCTATTAAATCTGTAGGATTTGAGAGAAAAGCACAATTATATGGTAGAAAATATTTATCTTTATGAATGTAATTATTACTGTCAGTAAGATAAGTTTTTTTTAGTGAACATAAAAGTGGTTATATTTTTTTTTTATTTTACATATATTCTTCATTTATAATTAAAAAAGTGATACTAGTTTATTATTATATTCAGTCTGCACCGATAGTGATGAATTTGTGTTTATTCAAATTATTTTGGTCTTAAAACAAATGATTTATAATAAATAAATAATTTTTAATTCATGAAAATTTAAAATTAGATAGTTTAAAACTAAGGTCAATATAAGTCAATGTACTGGATGTGCAAATATATTTTTATACACGTAAATTAATACATTTGTAAGAAAGTAAAATAGGCAATTCATATGTTGACAAATTAAATAAGCAGTTTAGATGAATTGTCGAATTTGAATTTTCAGTTACATTAATTTATACATATAAAATTACATCAATTTACACGTATAAAAATATAAAATTATATTTTACATACGCATGTATATCCAGCATATTGGCTTGTAAGTGTGATCTTACACTATTTACTTAATTATTTACTTAAGATTTTTCTAGCCACAAATAATAATTTTGTGCTCTTTCAATGTACCTAGTTTTATATGAAATAAAAAAAGAATCCAGCAGGAAAAAACATCACTCTGTATTAAAGTTGTCGACTGTTCAGATTAGGTTCAGATTAGGTTAGGAAAGGAAAGGAATTCAACGCATGCATATGCTCATGTCGTATTCTGTCAATGCGACAGAATACGGCACGAGCATATGCATGCGTTGAATTGTAATTTGCGGAAGAGCAGCGACCCGCAAATACATACAATAGTTTCTCGCTAATGTGCCAAACTTTTCCCTGGGTATTGTGACTTGTGATAGGGAGTTATCCCCATCCTAGAATCCAATTCCCAGAAGTGCTTCGCCCGAGGCTTCGCGCGAGAACCGTCGTCCGTGTGCGCGCGTGGAAGAACGCAGAAAGCGATCGTAAAATTATGGGCCTGGACCTCGATTCTTTCGAACAATTTGCGCATACGAAAGTCTATAGTACATGTGACATTAACAGTAGAGTTTCGTACACGAAAGTTTTTCAAGAATTAAGGCCCTGGACTTTGATGAAGGTCTTACATCATTAACCTTTAGATCGCCGGCATTTTTCTATTAAAATAGTGTATTTTTATCTCAAAAATTCGTGTATATTAATAATATACACGTTGTATAGAATCTCGAGGTTTATATGAAGCCCTAAAAGATGCTTTTGCGGCGGCCTAAACTTCACCTTTGTTTTTGTTTTTATTGAATAAATTAGAAAATATAAAGAAAGTATAAAAGAGATTGTTTTCTTGTTCTGTAGACTATAATAAATAAAAGTATAGACGTAAGTACTTTTGAAATTTCCAAAATGCTATTATTATAAAATTTATATTAATGTTGTTTGTTTTTTTTTTTTTTATACAAAGTATACACATACAATTTTATATCTATTCTATTGAGTACATTTAATGAAATATTTCGATGTAATACAAGGATGTGGTTTGAATTACATTTAGTTAATTATTAACTGCCATTGAATCATACACAAATTTAATTTGATGAGATTTTGAAAAAGTAGACTTACAAAAAATATAAACACAGTCATTCATTAGATCTACAATGAGTTTGTGTTTCAATACAAATGATAAGAGTTATAAGTTAAAATAGTTAGTTGAATACAAGTTGAAAACAAAACAAGTGTGCAGTTTTGATATAACTACTTTATGTAATCTTTTTTAATTTTTTTGTGGTTTTCATAGGGGAAGCCTTTTTTCTTGCTGGTTTCTCAGCCTTTTTTGTGTATTTATCGATCAACGAGTCGAAGAAACTCTCGGATTGACTAGCACGAGCCTTATTACGATTCTGAATTACTAACGCGAGATCAGCAGCTGCATTTTCTTCGTTTTCGATCTTCAACATCTTTTCCAAACGTTCAGCTTCTGCCGCTTCTTTGGCCCACTGTAACAAAACAAAATTGATCAAACCAATTAACGTTAAAAATCATTAAACAGCCATTGTTTATAGTATTAAAAAAAGTAAACTTGTGATTTCACAGTCTAACTTTTATAATTCAATCCAGACATTTTTACGTAGCGAGAAAGAAGATAGATTTCAAGAGCGGATAGTGTTTAAGAAGCATATGTTTCTGTTAGCAAGATTGATTGATATATTCTTACAAGAGCAAAACCGCGATCTACGTATTATTCTATTTCCGAAAATGCAATGCTTCAATTCTTGAGATTGTCTAAATGTATACGCGACTCACGTTCGAATAACGAATAGAAGTAAGAAAAACGTAAGCTTTTCTAAAATGTATTTTAAAAAGAGAAGGAAGTTTGTATTGGTAGTAAGAATAACCAGATGCATTGTTTAAAAGCGCGAAATAAAGCTGATTATTTACAGATTTTAATTTTTCTGACTTCCTCCGTAACTTGCAATAGATTCGTAGTAATATAAGCGTCGATGATGCTTTGTATCACGTGCGTGACCTACTCTATAATCTGCATTGCTGAAGAAATTTCGTTATTTATAAATTTCTGGCAAGTACGTCTAACTGGCTACCAAATGCGCATTGCACAACTCTTTGCAAAATTCTGACTGTACCGAGACTGTCGCGAGATAAAACGGAATCGTGAGTAATCAAAACAAGAAAAGATGCAGCACTTTGTGGAATGTTAATATTTTATTGTTATGTGTTATCTCAGAAAGGTTCTATATTATTTTGAGATATAATACACATTCATATCGTACCAAGCTGTCAATCTACAATACATATCTATCTCTGAGTGGAAAGCGGAAACATTTTTTCACGGCCTTGCAAGCCTTCACATTGATCGGAATCGCGCCACGCCTCGAGTAAAGTGGAAAAATTGCATTAAATAATTTATAGTCATCGAACGTGACACAAATGGCGCGAAGTCATGTCATATTTAATAGCTATGTCATCGGTATGGAATTCCATGCGGAGAATTGACTGCGTTATGACTTGTTTGCAACTCTCCGAACATATATGCGCATACCAGTCAATATGAAGATAAACGCCGCTATTCGTTGTAACAGACGCTTTCAATGATTATTCAAGGCTACTTGATGATCTCTACACGAGAGCTCTCTGTTCTCTGTTTGGCACAAAGACCTCGTGCTAAGATGCATCTGTTGCATAAAGACTGACGGAAACTATCGTGCGAACTTGACTCCGTACAGTGACGGCTTTGAGTGTATATTTAACGCGTTTGCGTCAAGTTGTGTCGAATCACGCAAAATCGTTATGTAACACGCATAATAATTGCAATATAGCGGTGCAATAACGGTGCAATTATTTTATTATCACTTTTGACGACTTATATGCTAGTTAATCGCAATTAAAATTTTCGCTTTAATTCGACATAAATAACACATTCTTATAATTTGACTTTTTTTACTCGATAAACACTTTAGAACGTTATAGTAATAGCAGTATAAAAGTATTATGTTCCAAGTTGATTGTGAGAAAACAAAATCACAAATGTTTTATTGAAATATTAAAAAAAAAGCTTTGCTAAATTCACTAAGTAATTAAAATTTAAACATAATTTTATTTCTTTTGCAACATATACTTAATTGGTGTGTAAATTTTTACGAATTTATCGGAAATCGCAGAACTAAGATGTTTTACAACATTTGAAAACCACTTGACATAAAAGTAACCCGTGTACACACATTTTAGAAAACACAAAGTTTTATTCTTGTATCTCTTATATGACACTTACACGTTAGATTCTGTTGACTTTGCCATTTACGGAGAATAATATCTTCTTCTTTCTGAAGAAAAAAGTCTTACCCGCGTTCACCACACTTTTGTTAATATCAATACGTATTATATATCTAGTTAATATTTTTCTATAAAGCTTTTTTTTTAAAAAAAAATATCCAATATTTCAATAGAGAAAAAAGTTATAACGCTAATAAATATAAATGCGCGCTTTTTTTAATATACGTTCGTTGATCAGTAAAACGTAAATTCGATTTTTTTTCTTCTGCGTTAAGGCTAATATCAGAATTTGTTCTCTACGTTTTCTACACGATTCATTTCACCGATCTGGACGATGAGAAATATGCGCGCTCGAGATTAAACTTTTACGATGACTTGTCTAAAGATGACAATAATAATAGACATCACTAACACAGCGACCGATTGGGTCATTAACGCCGCCGAATTTCTGTTTGGACATTCTGGAAGTGGTTTGTCCGTAAGTGTTTCCAATGAAGATACGTCTGCGATCGTATCGGTGTGTTGCGGATAATTTTGCAACGGTGGATAGAGAGTCACCGTTGATTCATAATACGGAGTCAGATAGGATTCGTCTGTTGAAGGTAAGTGCATCAATTCCAAGCCCGAAGATAATGAAGGTCTCACATAATGTATATCGGAAGATGTGGTTTGAGATCGATCTTCTTTATAGCGTTCAACAAGATCCTTAGCGATGAGAACATCGTTGGTACTTGGTTTTATCATTTTAAGTGAATCGAGCTCTTCAGAAAAGTGCGTTTTCTGAAGATCTGGTTCTGAAGGTAGTTCAATTTCTTCTTTAACACGATAAAATTGCTCGTAAAGTTCTATGTCTTTAGGTCGGAGCGTCGAAGACGGATCGTCTGAATGTTGTATCGGAACATTATCAGACCAAGTCTTCCAAGAAACTGCGTCGTAATCAATAGATGGATATGTTGCTTGAATATATCCATTCAATTTTTCATGACCACTAGACGTTGAAACATATAAAGGATATGTCACGACGTGTTCCTTCTGTAGCGGTCTGTCAAATCCTGTCGTTGTTTTGTCATGTGAAGATGATACTGCTTCTGTAGCTATCGCTCGCGATCTTTCTGATGTAATTTGAGGCATGTCATGTGTTGGAACATACGACGGATATATTGAAGTACGTTCCGTTTGTAACGATCTGTTGATATCATCTATTCTTGTAGTATCTGATGATGATTTCTGATGATAATCTTCGGGCGGCGTTTGTGATCTTCCTGACGTTACGTGCGATGGATAATTCATCGTTTCACTTGCTGGAACATATAATGGATATGTTGAAGTGTATTCTTGTGACAATTTTTCATTATCTGCCGTTCTAATAGTCCCTGCAGACATTGATTCTGCGAATGATGCTCGCGTTGTTTCCGCTGCTGAATAAGGATAAGGCATTTTTTGATCGATCGAGGATTTTGGTATGTTAGATTGTATGTCTGAAAATGGATATCTTGGTTCTACTCGTGGAATAGGTTCTTCTTTGTGTTTAGAATTCGTTGGTCGTATAGTTGTGGTTGGTCTTCTGGGACGGTGCTCCGACCAGTTATTTGAATAAATTCCACTGTTTCCTGATGATGGCATGTGTGGCAATACTTCTTGCTCCACTGATGGACGTCCGTCAGGATATGATTCTTTATGATATGTTGGTGTAATTCTATTATCTTTTTCTCCGTAGCTCAGCGGAATATGAACGTCGATCATATCGTTGGCAAGCTTTTTCCATTCAGGATCTTTTTCAAAAGTAACACTTTGACTCTCGAGAAATTTACTAACAGCGTGTGGACAAGCAAACTCAGGATTCTCGCTGAGAAGCATAAACTTGAGTTCTCTTAGATGTGACATGGCATCGAGATTTAGACATCGTAAACGATTTCCAGAAATTCTGAAATCCACGAGACTCGGTAGGTTCTGATAAGTTTCATCTTCGATTTCATATATATTGTTATAATTGAGATCGAGATATGTTAAATAGGACAGACCTCTGAACCACGCTGCTTTGACACTCGTTAAATGATTGTTGTCTAAACTGAGTTGCTGAAGATTGACAAGCCTTCTAAAGGCATTCACATCAATATCAGTGATATTGCAATGTGAACAACCCAATACCCAAAGATTTCCGCCGAATCTCGAGAATGTATCAGTAGTTATTTTGTGAAGTGGCATTCTGTTAATCCGCAATTTTTCAGTAATCTCGGGTATTCTGATTAAATCGGAAGGATGGCCACCTTCGCAAAAATATTCCAACATATCGTTATTTGCTATTTGTCTGCACGATGCTGTGACATTGCCGACGAATGTGGTTAACACGGCAAATAATACGAAAATAACGGCACTAGTCATTCTTCCAACTGATATATAAATGTCACTAAACATGTGATATAACTTGTTTCAATTAATGATAATTAACGATAATTAATATAATATAATAAAGTTATATTTTATCACATTCATCTCGAAACCAATAGATAAAACGAGACATAGCCATTAGAAGAAAAATTTTGCCAATTATTATATAATTAACGATAAACAGTTGAACTACTTGTAACGCGGACTGAGGCAGTTCGCAGTATTCGTAGGATACTTATTTACTAGACCTTCTCCCCTCCAAGTAATATCTCTATTACTCCTACTACCTTCCACTTGTACAGCTAAAGCTATCGGTAAAAATAGAAAAGTTTGAAAATAGCGCGGCAGGTCGTTAGACACTTAAAAGATTATTCATCAAGTGATATTTAGTAAAAATAAAGGAAATATTGCTAATGCACAAATTTCAATTCACGCTGTAATTACACATGATTGATTATAACAAGAGAGCGATAATAAAATGTTATAAGTTTGCAAAAACCAAAGCAATAATAAAATGTTTTGTAACAATTTTTTATCTTGTATTAAGCATTTGCTTCAATTTAAATCAAGAAGGAAGAAGATATATTTGACATATAAAATTAACTTGACTGCTAAATCAAGTTCTTTCTCATGAAACTCTATGAGATGAAAATTTTATAACAATAACTCAAAAGTTGAAATGCAAATATTATGTTATATGTTTTCTGCATCGACATCAAACATGATTCAATAATGGTTCGATCGATCGACAAGAGGAGTACCGAGGCGTTTAGACAGAAGAGTAGATAACGACAGTTATTGATTTTAAAGTTTAAACGATAGATTTAAAAAAAAGTTGTTCGAACGCGCAGCGAGGGAGTCCTGATTTTCTGGGATAATTTAGCGAGTTCTATATTATGTCGATAAAATACGTTAATTTTCCAACTACCTGTTATTTCATGAGCCAGAAGTAATGATTGAACGCAACATTTTACAATTTCAGATAGGTAGTAAAAAAATAAAAAGCAAATAAAAACTGACTTAAGCTGGGTAGTACACACAGCGAACGAACGCCGAACGTACAGCAAACGCTGACGTTCGTTACTATAATTCATCAGATGTATACGCCAAAACAAATGTAAACAGAATGAACAAATGTAAACATTCGATCTGCATTCGGATCGGTTCCCTCATAAGGCGGTACATCAGAGAAAATTTGTGAGCGATATGAATGCACATACGCGCTGTTCTCTGCTGTTCGTTACTTTGTAACGAATGACTTCAGAATACAAACGCGAATGTCCAAACGTTCGCGCTCATTCGGTGCTTGTTCATAGATGTATACTCAATTTTATAAACAAACACACACACACACACAAAATATCGTGTCCAATAATTACCATATAATCTCTTGTAGGTAAAGCGAGTTGTACTGAATAAAAAAAAGTCCTTTACTATTTTGCAAGTTTCGCAATAATTAATGTGTTAGTAATTTATAATATCCACAAATGAGTATGCGTCCGCTATGAAGACAACCCAGAATTTTGCGCATTTACGGTTGCTATACACACAGCAACTCAATGAGTATTGAACCCAAAACCCTTCAGAAATGTTAACAAATCGCGAAAGTATCGAATATCAAATATTTATTATTATTTATATGTATAATACTATATTTATATAAATAATTGTTAATTAGTTATTAGTTAAAATGAATTATTTGTTAATTAAAAATCAAACTCTTATCTAATCTTGATTGTTTATACAATACAATACTTTTTTTGCTAAATTTTTTCTATTCATGCAAAACAGCATTAAATGAACAAATTTATAAAACAACAATAATTTATTCTAACAATTAGTGAAAAATAGAGATTACTCTCAGGCTCTATAAGTCTTTTAAACTAATAATATATGAATATAAGAACATGAAGAGCCGTTCGCAAAATGTTGTGCGTGAATGTGCTTAAATATATATATATGTATACACATATATACTTCAAAATAATTGTTTTCCTCCATATAGGATGCTGGATTTGCATCACATATATATATGAAGAACCCACTGAGGAGTTTTTTTCGCAATATTTTAAAATTAGTTAGGGTCCTTCATATATATGTGATGCAAATCCAGCATCCTATATGGAGGAAAAAAATTATTTCGAAGTATATATGTGTATACATATATATATATTGAAGCACATTCACGCACAACATCCTGCGAACAGCTCTTCATGTCCTTATATTCATATATTATTAGTTTAAATTTATTATTATTAGTGGCTAGGGAGATTTTGTCAATAAGTACTCTATAAAGTGAGATTTCTTAAACTTTAAACCTTACCTTTCAGTAAGTTTAACTTAATATTTCATGTTTCAAATGTTTTTGACACCTAAAACTTTTTGCGTTATACTTCAACTATCATATTACAAAATATAAACAAAATCCAAAGTACATCTAGCATACTATACAGTTACTGTTTGTACTGTTTATACAGCTATTGGGACATTTACTATATTTACCTTTCTTTTTCTACGTTGTTTTTTCTTGTTATTTTCATTGGTAAAGGCTTTATATTCTGGAACTTCACCTTTCTTGATTAAATTTTTAATTATAGCATGTAATCTTGGTTCTTCATCACAATTGGTAAATGGAACAGCTTCCAATATATAATCCATATCTCCTTTACCTGATGTATTTAGAATTAAAGTGCACACACAATAAAACATTAAATATAATATTAGTTCTTTTTATGTATACAATGTGATAAACCTAACTTACTGTCTATATATGCTCTCTTAAGATCTTTGATTTCTGTTTCAGAACCTTTGTAATTCTTCTCATAATTATTGATATCTTCAACTGTAATTGCTTTAAATAAAGATCTCCAATAGTCTGCCCAATTGCGCATTATAACTTCTTCGCTTTCCTCGTCATAATGACCGGATTCATCATAAATTTTGCGTTTTTCATTGTCACTGAGAATTGAATGTATCCTACCAAGAACTTTAAATTTTTCAGTTGCTTCAGCTTTGATATTCTCTTCAACTCGATCGGGATGTACAAGTAGTGATAGTTTGTGATAAGCTTTCTTGACTGGTAAAAAATATAATAAATTCTTATTATATGAAGAATGGAAAAAAGTATTGAAATATGCTTACAGAGAGGTTAAGACGCTATATAAATTCAAGTCACTATTTACATACCTTGCTTATCCGTTGCAGTTTTTTGTATTTTTAAGACATCATAAAAATTACGCGCGCCAAAATATTGTTCACAAAGATCTAACAAACTAGCCATGCTGACAAGCTCTGAGTAACTTTACTGGAAAATTTTGGTTTGGCTTGATGCATTCATGGCTTTTTGCACATTTAGAGCTAGTCCATACTAGTAATCAGTATTGCGATATTGGAGAGACTGTACGCGCATGCTCGACGAAATCAGATGCTGCGTTCAGCAGAACACGTTGCCAAATCTGCTCATATATTTATAGATACGTTACTGGATTTTCTGTGGCCATGTTCAGCAGACTGAGCAGATCAGTTAGCGCTTAGTGATTCTTCAATATGATTGGTTTCTACACTTAGATCCAGCGATGATCTAAAGGCAAGATTCAATCACATTAAAGAATCACTAAGCGATCGCTGATCTGCTCGGTCTGCTGAACGTGGCCATTGTTACGTCGTCTTGTCAACACTCGACGTTGACAAGAAACGTGACTTCAAATTATAGTTTGGTACACTTTGGTATATGTACCATATGATCGCCAAAAATCGTCTTTTGTAATAATAGAAAATTATTAATTAGAAATAATGACAAGCCTCCTTAGAAATCAAGATAAAGTAGACTTGCAGAGCGCCGTGATTCACGGGTGGTAGTGGTAAGAATAATATAAAGTGTTTATATATATTTTTTGGAACGTCTATCTTTAATTAATCTATCTTTATTTTAGATCATTTTCAACCAATCTATAAAAACAATAAATATCCATGAAACTGATTACAGAAAAAGACAGATATAATAAATATCGGATCAAATGTAAATAAGATTACAAATTGTAAAAGAGATCTCGCTCCTTAATATATAAATATAAATTCAAATTGCAAACATGCGCCAACCGACAAAAAAAAGTCAACACCAAAAAACGCGAAAATAATGAGCGTTTAAGAACGTTGTCACGGAAAGTCTCTCTATAGGGTAATGTAATTAACTTTAAATTTAAGTAATACGGATGGAGTAACAATAAATTATACTAGTGGCCAAAACGTAAAAAAAGAGTCAAAAAAGTCGAAGAAGCAAAAAAATAGTCAAACAAATATTGTAGTCAACAAATATTATATTCAAAAGCAAGAAAAAAATAAATAAATAAATGAGTTATTGCGGGTCAATTAAATAAATTAAGATAACAAGAATCGTAAAAACACTCACTGTCGTTTAATAAGTCACAAGAGATCGTCAACCATCCAAGAAAAGAAAATTATTACTTTATTACTATAGACTATATTTTCTAGTCTATTAAAAAAACGTAGTTACATGCAACTTTCTTCTCTTGGAATAAATCTATTCCGATGACGACGAAGAGAGTAATTGAAGTACTTAAAGCAAAGGTAAATTAATAAAAAGACAATAGCGCAATCGATCAATTTTGATTTTATTTTCTTTTCGACGCATACACAATGCAGAATACGTCCCGTTAAGTTTTTGCCATAATTGGCGCGCGTAATTGTGTGAAATATGGTACTGTTGCTCTCAAAAACCGAATAAGGGCTGATATTAATTTCATTTATTTATATTCGGACTCTTTGCGTATATGTTTGCTCATATCAGTCTTTACTCACTTTTTGACTTTTTAAGATCAATCTTGCCAATTTCAGATAACGTATAATCGGTCGATTACTCAACGGAAGTAATCCATCGCATTGATCGATTAATCGAATTTATCACCCGCGGTTAATGTTTGACCGATTATTATGTTAACCGTGGTTGACATAACTGGTCCTTAATGTGACGAGCTTCTGTACGGTTTTGTTTTTAATATTTACGCTTGCAGTACGTATACGTGCATCTTATGCAGCTTCGCCGCGAGCCGCTAAAACCGCGATTTACGCACCTTGTTTTATCTGTAAACAAATAAATAATTTATCTTTTCGCGCGAATATACTCCCAGCTCGCAACAAATCGCACTCAGCTTGCAGGAGTGTTCAGCCTTCTTACATCCTTATAAAGAGTTAATATTATTTAACATTTATATGTAAATAAGAGTCATTATGGAAGATTGAATTGCGCCGTCACCTCTTTGCACATCTCCCTACCTAATTAATTGTGCTCGCCAAGTTATTAAATCTCAGTTTTGCAAGAAAAAACACATTATAAGAAAATTATTTTAAGAACTATATATATACCCAGCAGATACAATCAAACTTTTGTTAATTAAATATTAATCAAAGCTTGCGTATTGTAAAATATTTTCCAATGGGAAAATACCAACACGTTATTACTAGAAGTTAAAAAATTTACTTATTGTCTATCTATCGACAGATTGTAAATATTCTAAGTGTCAATAAAAAAAAAAATATACATATGTGTATGTACACGATGAGATATACGTATGAAAATCCGAAACAATTTCAAAAATATAGTTTTTACAAATAAATAGTTTGGATAAAGAGAGAGTTGTAGAGTTTAGAAACTTCTATTTATACTGATCTTATCAATTTGATCTTGGATGGCATCACTAACATCAAGACACAAAGTTAAATTTTTCAATTGTGACCTTCTATTGTTTATTGCATCTTATTATAGTCTTCATTGAAACGTTTTTTCAAAACTCTATAATAAAACCTCTATAATAATTTTATGGTTAAGATAAATCTTGTTTTAGATGGCCGGATTCTCCTTTTATTCTTTATGAGATATTAAAAACTATTATGACAAGTTTAAAAAAATCTCAGGCAATTCTTAACCAAGAAAAGTTTTATTATATAGTTCTGCAAACGTATCAACAAGGGCTATAAGAATATATGTACAATAAAAAATAGAGGATCACATTAAAAAAAAATTCAAGTTGACTTTATCCTGATCTTGGCGACAATATTAAATTGATAAGATCAAAGATCTTTTTAAACCTCACAACTTTTACCCGAAACACTTTTCTGTAAAACTTCTATTTTTTGAGATTTTTCGAGGTTTCCATACTTTTTCCTCACCTGTACAATATTAAATTATAATATTTAATTATATTCAATTATATTTTTAAACTTGAAATCTATAATGTTTAAAGATTTATATATATAGTTTATACAGGATGTATAAAAAGTACCGGTACCGCAAAAAATCTCGAAAACTAGGCATTTTACGAAAAAGTGTTTCAGATAAAAGTTGTAGGGTTTAAAAAAATCTATCTACTGATCTTATCAGTTTGAATGACATTGCCAAGGTCAGGACAAGATCACCTCGCATTTTTTAAATAGATATCCTATTTTTTATTGCAAATTCTTATAGCTTTCCGCAACACTAGAATAAAGTTTATTTTCATTAAGTATTTTTTGACTTATGAGTTGAATATCAGATTATCGCCGGTATTAGCATTATCTATTGACGTTATCATTCATTTCGAATGTTGCTTTATCCAAAAAAACTATGTTAAATAGGAAGTTAGGTTCTTTGTCAATTCTCTGCATTATGAGCTCACCAAATTCGTTTTGATCAAAATCATCTTCGTAGAAAAAGTACCGGCGGTACTCTTAATATTCAACCTTTATAACTCAAAAAGTACTTAATGAAAATAAACTGTATTATAGCGTTTTTGAAAGCTCTTGAAGTAAGCTATAAGAATCTGCAATAAAAAATAAGGAGTTCTATTTAACAAAATCGATGTGATCTTGACCTGACCTTGGCGGTGTCATCAAAGGGGCACACTGATATCAGTAAATAGATTCTCTTTTAAACCCTACAACTTTTATCTGAAACACTTTTGTAAAATACCTAGTTCTCGAGATTTTTCGCGGTATCGGTACTTTTTATACCCTGTATAGTTATTTATATATATATATATATAGTTTTATTTTTTTTTTTCAATTTATATCTCTTTGAAATAAAAATTTATCAAACTAAATTCTTAAAAAAAAAACTATAACAATATTGCAAGATTTAATATCTTTACATATATAGGTTTACACGCTAATGTGATATCATGGAAGACGAATATCATCTATGGAAAATCCGAAATATTATTGGAAACGGTTTCATCGATAAGAGTCGCAAATTGATTTGTGGCTTATGGGAAAGTGTACTATTCTTAACGCATATAAAAGGTTTTCCCCTAAGTTTTATACTTGGTAATAGTATAATTATTAGTGATAATCAATTCTAATCGACTGCAACTATTATTATTGGCACAGTGTCAAGTGAGGAATTTCAAAAAATAGTTACCACAAAGTTTCTATTTTTTTGTGTATGTGCCTGTATTTCTTATTTCAAAAACTACATATATGTACATATATATGTATACATACATACATATATACATACATACACACACACACTAAAACAATTATAAAATAATTTCTTTGTGTTCCTATATATACGCTTGTTTATACTCCTTTGCGCTATTATTTTTATTTATTTTCATTAATAATGCATCTTTTATTTTTGGAATGTACGAGAGATTAAAAACATTTTTTCTTGAGGATAAAGATCCTGTTAAAAATTCTAGAAAAAGGTAATAGACTGTTTACGTGTTTATGTGTGTGTGCACATACACGTACAATGTTCTTTCATAATATATCTAAAATTTTTATACCTTTATTACTATATAGGGATGTAATAACTCTTTAGCAAATTGTAGCAATTCAATAACGCTTATTAAATTCTATCTCTTCTTTTCTCTCAATTCTACTAATAATAATTGAGATGTGGCAAGGTAAAGAGAGACCTTTTTCAACGGAAGACACCGCTCACATTATGATGTGATTTTGCAAGGAGATATTTATTCAAGAAACTTCTCTAAATCAATTAATTCTCTTAATTAAAAGTTTCACTATATTTCTTTCTTTCATAAATGCGTTTATTAAATTAATTAAGAGGGAGACAAATAGGAGACGGCGTTTGTCTCAAAGAACCGGAGCTGATCTTTAGAGAGTTAACTCCAACTTAATGCGCATTCTCCGTTCGTACACGCTACCAAATGCCATTGCTTGATTGTTGAGAAATTGTTTCGTGAAGAAAGTGTTTCGATAATATCAACGTATCTTTTTTGAAAGAGTTAAGAAACAGTTCGTTTGCACAGAAGATAAATTGTTAAAAGAACAAACACGTTTATATGCTGCTTGCTCGGAAAATAATTGAGACTTTAAATACTTAAGCGTATAACATGACACGTCACGCACTGTTTAGATTGATAAACCATGTAACGCGCACGAACGTAGAGATTTCTCTCACACGCATCTACCACTCTTGTACATCATTGCGCGTAATGATTATTTAATTTACAAAGTCGGAGATGATCGACTTCGTCGATTACGCAATTAATATTCGACGCAATGATCGGATGCGTCTCCACGTGTGTAAAGGAAGCGCGTTTTTTTTTCTGTATTTTTGTGTGTGTACGAGTGTGTGGAGAAATATTAGAATATAAACGTGTATGTACTTCAATTCATGTGTTCACCTTTTGCCGTGTGTAAAATTAGCACCAAACTTAAACTAGTGTTGTTTGTATCTTGTAAATGTGTAACATTTCTTGCGGACTGTTGCAATAATTGATTTTTTTTTTTACGAGGAACACCTTGTATACGTACTTATCGCGCGATATAACGCGACTCCTCTGGCGTTGTTTGCATCATTGCGTAGCCGCGCAAAAGGACAAGATAATAGAGATTAAAATACTTTCGAGACATTCGAAAAAACTGGACAGACTTTCTTGGAATATTTCAGCGAGATTAATACACGAGTATAATGCGCGCTCGCCGCACACTCCGCCCGAACTTAATGCGCATTATATTACATATATTTATTCGTACATCAGATGCGCCCGATCATAAACAGTCCCACACATCCGAGGAAAAAAGTCCAAGTGTTATTAATAATTATAAATCAAAAAATGCGCGGATTAGAAAATAATCTACAAAACTGATCTAAGAGATTTAAAAACTTTACGTGTGAATATTTCAACAATGATAATTTTTCTAATATACTAAACTATAAATATGTACACATAAAACACTAGTCAATACGAAGAAACGATTTAATTTTTGATACAGCTAAAGTAATACAAATACTTAAAGTTAACTTTTAACAGTTTTTTGGTCATCATGTCGGGCAAAAAAAACGATTGCAAAAATTACTACCAAAATGTGTTTTATGTAACTGTTTATTAATCAATTTTTTTCTTGGAAAATTTTTTCCTTGGAGATATGTTTTCGCGTACGCGAAATAGATATATTCGTCTATCTATCTGTATCTATCTACCTATCTATCTATCTTCTATCTATTGTTCCGCTAGCGACACTAATAAACGTGTCGATCTAAATTATCCGAGTGCGGTAGCATGCGTGTTCGCATTTTTTCTGCGTGTCTTGACAAAAATACTGCACGTAATCGATATATTTGATAAAGAACGCACATTATGTAATAATTATATAACAATATAATAATTATACAATAATATAATAATTATATAATTATATAATAATTATATAATTCGACATTGGTACCCGTATATATCTTGAGATAAGATTTCTTTAATTTTCTGTCTCCTGTATGTGTTTTTCTGTCACGCGCTAGACAAAACTAGAAGTTACTGTATTTTGTATGAGAAGAAACATTTATATTATATACTACGGTGTATTGATGTCTTTTTTTCTGGAAAGAGAAACAGAAATTTTCTTCTTTCTACAACGCGACAAAACGCTTGAGAAATACTTTTCTTCTTTGAAAGGCATCAATGCATCGCAATGTACATATTGAAACACGATCTTCGTAAAATTTGTAGTTTAATATCGTACAGAAAACAGAAAAATATAGAAAGGAATTAAAATATTTTAAAATCGAGAGATCACAGAGATTTCAACTACCAACCTTAAACGAACTTTTATCGATTTCTTTTTGTTATACTGTACACGTAATTTTGTGTATATTATGTGTTGTCTTAACTTTAGGTAATTTATTTCTAAAAAAATTAATAATTCTCTATTATTTGTGAAAATATTGTGTGACCACTTTCACATGGGCTGTTTTTGGTTTTTTTTTTTTTTTTACATCTCATATGGAGACACGTAGAATCAGTAGAATCCAGCATGCCACCAAAAAATTAGCCAAAAATGAAAGATCGATACATTACGGTCGCACTTGTTGAGCAAACAATCGTCGTGCGCCTGGGAAGATGTACATTTGGCACTGGATTTTTTTTCTCTTTTTTCCCTTTCTTCTCTCACACTTTTAAACTTCATGAAGAAAAATGTTTTTTGTCTTATATTAAACATGTATAGCACGCGCGCAATAAATTCTCGATTATGCGATTTTGATTCACAAACAACAATAAATAATAAATTAGATAAGATTATAGAGAAGAGAAAATTTACAAAAAAAGTAAAGTTAAAAAACAATTTACAGAATCCAGGAATTACAACTTTACGGAGATCTATATAAAATATCTACTGCTATTTGTAGGATTTGTTAATTTGATACCGTTTATTACTTTTGCTTTAAGCTCTAAATATATACTTTTAATTGCTCTTTGAATTCTATCTCTATCTTTGATCGCGCGAAGATTTTTCTCAGTTATTAGTTTTGATTTCAATCTCTAGTCCTTTAATGTATATCTACTACTTTTTTGTTGATATAAAATTAAAGAGCTATGTATGAAGTTAATTATATAAAGTATGTTACACATAAAAATCTATATTTAAGAAATGAATATTGAGATAAATAATCAAATTATGATAAAAATTTTATACTTTTTATCGGTTTTTGTTTCCTGTACAAATCGAGAGTTCTTTGCGGCTCGCTGATACTGATGTGAAGGAAAATTGTTTTTCTTTATTTACAAGCCTATTCGCAAGAATCAAGGGAATCGTCGTCAACATTTATTACCCACAGCTAGCCATAGGAAAAAATATACGCAGCTGTGTCCCTTATTTTTTTTTTTTTGTTTTTTTTTACATTAGTCAAACGATAGCTCGTTCGATTATGAGGAACGTCTTCATCTTCTTTGCAAATTCCGAAGATGTTTAGTAAAATTCTCGGCCCTTTTCTTTCGCAGATAATTTTCAGTCGTATTCAAAGGAACCACTATGCCGTTTTTCTACATGTCGAAAATAAAAATCGATATTTTTTTTTAGTATTTATAAGAAAAAGGAGGAGGGCATTTTAGAGTAACAGGGCCAAAAAGAGTCGATCCCGATTAGACCCTTGTCTTCATCACAAGAAAGGCTTCGCCCGACAATGATATGATTGCCCTTCGAAGTCAATGACGCGGCCGGCTCGGCCTTAGCTGTTCATGATCGTGGACCTCCTGGAATAACCGCGCCTTGTCACCGTTTCACCCTGAGCCTCGCACTCCCGCTTCACACGGTCGATTATATCTGCCACCAGTTTCTCTTCTTTTTCCCGTTGCTGTTCCCAATCTGAACTCTTGCCGATCTAAAGTAACACATTGTTTCTTGTGACAGAAATATCGAAGTAGACATCTACAAAAATGTGTAACAATTTATTATTTACAATTTTCAAAAAGCAAATCAATATTTTGAAAAAAAAAATGTATATATATTGATGTATCTGAAAAAAGTATACATTACAGCAGCAAAACGTTCAAAACAGACAATATCGACAGTACTTTCTTTCATACTCACATCAGAAATCTTGCGGAACTTCTTATTAGTAGGCTCTTCGCGATTCTCGTCGTTCTCGTTGTCGGAATGACGTGAGCTCAGGTGACCGATGTAGCCTTTGCGAGACTTGAAATACGCGTTGCAGCTGTGGCACTTGAAGAGCGGCGCTGGCTGGGTCACCTGGGTTGACACGTGCAGCTTGTACTTGTGCCTGTACCAACGGGTTCGCGACGGTAGCACCTCACCGCACCACTTGCAGACTACGGAACCGTCGTTTTGAATGAGGTATTCCAGCAGCTTGGAAAACAACGTTTATTGGTGTTTTTTTTTCTTTATCTCTCCTCGCTCTTTTTATCTGTTCTCTCGCTTTGCTATCGATTCATCATCATTTTCTCACGTTGTAAAGCTGGGTATACACGTAGCGAACGAACGCCGAAATGTATAGCAAATGCGAATGTTCGTTAACATTCGTCAGATGTAGATATACGCCAAAAAACAAAACAACAGAACATTCGATTCGGATCGGTTCTCTCATAAGGCGGTACATCAGAAAAAATTCGTTAACGATATGGATGCGCATATGGATGAACGTGTCTGTTTTCTGCTGTTTACTACTGTAACGAATGACTTCAGAATACAAACGCGGAATGTCCGAACGAGTTCGCGCTCGCTGTTCGTTCGGTGCTTGTTCATAGATGTATATCCAACTTAACGTCTCACATATACACGCGCGCGCGCCCACACACACGCACAAAAAAGGTTCCATTAAAATATAAAAGTTTACCAAATTATCTCTCTCAATTATTACTCGTTAATAATCTAAAAGAATTAATTGAGAGAGTGAAAGAGAATTTCTGCAAACTATCTGGAACCCTCTTCAAGATCCGTATATTGATGTCTGAAGAGAGAGTCAAAGTCGCACTAGAAGATACAACCAACCTGTTTCCGACTGATCTCAGGCTCGTTTTCAGCAGATTCCGATTTCGGCAACAAGAGATCGGGTTGATCTTCTTCCGTGCGATCTGTTAAGAAGTGGACGCCGCTGACTACCTTCTCGGCCTTAATAAAAGCGCCGACGCCAGCGGTGCTCTCGTCGTCACCGCCGCGCGTTATCGATGACGATGCCAGCGAGACCGGTGTGACGGGCGACGACGGCGACGACGAGCTACAGATTTCGAAGGTGGTGTCACTTGGCAATTGTGGCAACAGCTGATCTGTCGATTGCACATGTAACGAGAAAAAAGGAAGACGACTATGTTAAATACCGTTACGTGTGGTCTGCGTAAACGGTCTGCGCCAAAAGATTATTTTATATAAATCGCTTGTATCAACGAGATTGAATAACAATTTATATTACTTAAAAATAAGAACGATTCGATATGTTTTTGCGTATCCACAAGTTACTGCGGGATACTTGAAAGTAAAGTAGATTTTTATTAAAAGTTAATTATTCGAGTAGCGTTCTATTTTTTTTTTAAATGCATAATTATATAAAACCGATTGTTTGTCTCTTTTCTTTTCTTAATATATTTGCATGTTTGTGCAAAAATTAAGTGTACATATTTCTTACTTTGCGCTATATCATTCCTTGTCAGAAGATCATTTATAATAATAAAGATCAGCTTTTTTATTTAGTGCAACAAAGTCGATTGAAGTATATATAGTTTTTATTTTCTTCTCTTACTAAAAAAATAAAATTTGGTATATAAAAGTATATTTATAAGCTTGATTTATTAACAAACTGTCAAGTTTACATCCTAAACTCTCTCATAAACTCTTATATATGTATTCATCTCAAATATATATATACGGAGGTGGAACATGAAAAAAAAATGTTTCGTGAACGAAACACTCTGTGAATAAGAAAGGATCTAATTGGTATTGTATTCAATAGTAAAGGACAGATAGAGAAGAAACAGATTTCTCTAAACTATTGCAATATATATCACAAAAAGTTACAAGGAAACTACAAATTAGATAAAAACAAATAAAAATAATATTATTAGATTGTTATCGTTCTTTTCTTGTCACCAGGCACCAAAAAAAAAAAAAAAAAAAACAAATTATACGTATAGATACATTCGAAATGTACATAATCGTAGGAGACAAAATATGTTCGCTGCATGTGACGATAACGTGCAAACGTGCAACTTGTTTCACCTTTATTATTGTTTTCCAATGCATATTATATGTATACGCGATATACATGTACAAATGTATGAACGCGCTATGTAGCGGTGCTCTCCAGATGCGATACAATGCGCATGAGCGCACATAATATATTTCCATATATATATTTATATATATATGTATAATTAATAAATTTTTTTCTTCTTTGCAACACGTGTACATTTTGTGTAAACACTGCTCGCGAAGATGTGAGCGATTCTTTCTTTCTATATTGCAGACACAATTTCTATGTTGAGAATAAATCGCTTCAGCGGTACATCTGTGAATTTTCCGACAAATTGTCATCCTGGTAGAAAACACTTTTACGCGCGTTTGTAAAAAAAAACAGATATGCAAACCAATTGAAATAATGAAATACCTACAATTTCCAAAGTATAATTTCATATTTCTTACGAATTTCGAAACTGCGATTGAACGATCACAGAACGTTGTGTCGTAACATGCATCTATTTGACGTGTAAATATATTTTGCATAATTGCACGCACAGTTTGTCGGGGAAAATTCTGCCAATGCCCGTTTGCCGAAAAAATTATAATACACATTCTCCCCTTTCTCGCTTTTGGAAGACGTTGCGAGAGACGCGAGTATAAATAACAGATGCAATTGCATTTTCTGTATCAACTTGGTCTTAACGTTAATACTAAAAAAAAAACATGCGTATTCCACTCTTCGCACTTTCTGGATGGTGATTAGTTGCTTGTGCGATTGATAAGATATAATCAATCGCGAACATAAATTTTTTATCTGCGGAATAAAATTTATAAACAGGTCAAAAAAGATAAACAATAGTAATAAACAAATTGAACTTTTTTCCTTTTGAAAGTGTGGAAAAAGCGGAAGAGGCCGTATAATTATTATAAATCCCCCCCCTCTCTCTCTCTATACACATATATATAATACATATAACATATGTACCGATTAACGCTTAAATAAAATATCTGCATTGTGAATTGAATAATAATATAATATAATATATAAATCGCATTTCGCTATGTCTCACATTTCGCTTTGTTAAACATGTACTTTTCCTTTAAAGCCTAAACGCACCTCACGTATTTCTAACTAATACCCGCTGTGTTACAAACAATAAAATTGAAAAATCAAATAATAGATGTTAATTCGATCGTGTCAAAAAAAAAAAAAAAAAAAAAAAAAAAAAATAGCAGATTGCGCTATAATAACGTGTAGCAGTATAGTATTCTAATTGTATAAACCTAAATCTAATAGAAATAAGTGCGTCGCTACTTACGACACGTCCTGGAAAATGTAGAATAAAGGTAACACGTTTTTAAACATGCTCTTGGAAAGTTTTGCATTGAGATATCCGTGTCACATTAGCGTTATGATTAAAAACCATTTCTTATCGATCATAATAACGACTCAACAAAGAAATCAAAAGTTTTTCGTTCTATGAAACAAGCTAGATTATGTAACTACTACAAAATTACTTGTATATTAGATTCAGACTTTGCTATAACAGAGAAAATGGTTCATAACATTGCGAAAGAACAAAAAAGAATCTTAATAAATATAAAGTGTATGGAGAACTTATATCAACGTAACATCTTCGATTTATTGACTGAAAAGAGAACAAGAATTTTATGCAAATAGAAAATTGCGAAGAAAAAAATGAATCTGTCTTGCATCAAACGTGTATAAAGAAGTAAACATTAACAAACAAAATTCTAAAAAACTCCGATCTTTGGAACGAAAACCTTTTAATTAAATAACTTTAAAGCGAAATAAGTTTAGAATATTAATCAAATTTAAGACTTTTTGCGACTTAGAAATCTGCAAAAAATAAATGAACTAAATAATTTATACATACTAATTAAAAATTATATTAAAAAATACTCAAGATTTTCTTTACTAAACTTACAAGAATATAAAGCAATCGTATCATTTTCTAGCTAATTATTATTGTTATTATTGTTTCAATAAAGACTAAAGAAAAAACCTTGGATATCTCAGGCAAAACCTACCCCGGACTTCTGTTAGGAAAACAATCACACAAGCACATGCACATTCTCTCTCATGCAATATATCTCTTTTTATCTCTCGGAATATGTATATAGGCATACACATATACATAATATTAAAAAAAAAAAGAACTCCTCTTCTTCACATTCACGCATTTTATATATTCTCACGTTTCCTTTCTTTCTGCCTTTCTCTCACACACGCATATATACAACGCCGATGCGGAAGACCAAAATACTGCTTTCGGTTCTCAATGCTTCCTCAAAAGCTCGACATAATCGAATAATCGAATAATCGACAGAGACATACATTTACACGCAAGAATCATATTTCTTTCCACTTATTTAAAGACGTGACAGCCGGTGTCATCCTGCATTCTCTCACTCTCGCTCATCCTTTCTCTCTTGGTGTCAACAAAGAACTCTCGAACTGAAGACAGATCTGTTTGTTTGAGTCTTCTTGAACAAATAAAAGTAAAAGGGGAATAAAGGAAAAAAAAAAGAAACAAGAGGCTTGATCTAGCCTGTCACAACACATACATACATATCTATATAAGGTGTGTTCGTGTTGTACATGTACAATATATAAAATATTTTCTCTCTAACGCGCGTACGCTTGTGCATTTACTTAACAGTAATAATAATATAATAATAAATAATTAGTGTAATAGATTTTTTTTTATATTCAGGCTGGTCCAAAGCTAAAAGTTAATAGTAATTCTTATTGAATAATGATAAAAATAATAATAACAGCTGTAAATATAGTAACAGAAATAATAAAACTACTGCGATTTATCAATAGCAAGTGCGAGAATATTCTGTAATAGCGAAAATAATAATAATATAATTATAATAATTAATAATCAAATATTTCTATAATACACACTTCCCGTAAGAGGCAAAACGATGAGACAATATTTAAAGAAGAGAAAAAAAAATCTCAATCAAAGCTGTTATACAATATACTTTGTGTGATCTTTTTATTTTTCTTTTCTTTTTTCTTCCTATTCTTTAGAAACTATATATTGCTTTTATGATATCACTAGTGAGAAATCATCTAATGTGTGATTCTTGCGACATTTTATTTTTAGTTTTATTTTTCAGTTTTATATTTTTGTAATCCTAAACTTGTAAAATATACGATAAACGCTTATATCTGTCCGATACGTCACGTAGAACTAGAAAATAATAATCGAAGTAGAGTGACACTGTTTTTCTCAACCGTTACTAGTGATGAGAAATTTGCTAAGCTGTCACACATTTCACGGCAACATTATCTTTTCATGGAAAAACTAAAATATAAACGAAAAAAACTATAAAATATGAAACTATACGTGGCAAGAATCTACACTATGTTTTTTTCTCGCTTTTGAAGTCATAAAACCAAAAGGATCGCGAAAGTAGTTTTAAATGCGTGTTTCTTTTATTATATATGTGTAACAAGTATCACTGTGTAACAAGTATATTATCACGTAATCTTTGTTTTACTTTTTTTTCTTCTTCAAATATTCTCACAATTGCTCGTTTTATGAAGCAATAAATTTACTTATTTAACTTTTATCTATTTCTTCTCTTCTTTTTTGTAAAGTTTTGTCAGATTATATGAAAAATATAAAGAGAAGCAGGAATGCTTCACATTTAAACAAATTAAAATTAATTTTTTTCCTTAAGATTAAAAAAACAAGAAATATATATATTTTTAATTTTATAAACAATACAGTGTTGTCCCAGACAATTATCGATAAGACGGCATATCACAATGTTCCAAGATTAAACTAGAGCACATGTTTTTCTTTGTAAGCCTACAAAAAAGATATAAGTCGATGTCCGATAGAATAGTTTTTTGTTAGTCCAATCTTATATTCTAAAAACTGATAATCAAAAACAGTACCTATATTATTTGTTTGCAAAACAAAAACATGTTCCATTTTGGCCTAGAAATACCATGATATGTCTTGCCGATCATTCTGGAATATCTTGTGTACACAAGTCTACATGTACATACATATAGACGTGTACACACACAATTCATATTTACATATAA